TGGGATAGAATGGTTAGTGACAAAGGCTTGGTCAATAAAGCTTTCAGCTGCTCCGGAATCTATCAAAGCCATAGCATTAAGTACTCCCCTTTCCCAAGCTAAAGAAACAGGTATCAGAAGCCTATGATCTTTATAATCATATATAGAGGACAAGATAGAAACACCCAAGGCCTGTCCTCTTGAGAAACTTAGGTGCGAGCGTTTCCCGGCCGGTTAGGGCAATTTAGGCGTAGGTGACCTCTAATTCCGCAATACATACAAAGACCCTCCCTTCTCCTGTACTGTCTTTCCTCTTCTGAGAGTCGAGTATTACCTATTTGCATAGGTTCTGGGAGAGCTAAAGTAGTAGAATCAGAACTCTGAAATGAGGGAGCTAGTCTTATGGAGGATCTGCGGGTTCTATCCCGAATATTCTGCCTCTGTCTCATACGTTCATCTATTCGGGAAATAAATGAAATCAGATCCTCCAAATTTTCAGGAAGATCTCTTGTGGCCACCTCATCTAAAATCTCATCAGATAACCCGTTCATAAATACGTCCATATAAGCCTGTTCATTCCACTTGACTTCTGCCGCCAAGGATCTGAACTCTAAAGCATAATCCACGAGGGTTCGGTTATACTGTCTAAGACGTAACAGTAGTCTAGCTGCATTGGCCTTTCTTCCTGGGGGGTCAAAAGCTCTCCTAAATGCAGCGACAAAAGCATTATAGTTATAAACTAACGGGTTATCATTTTCCCACAGGGGGTTAGCCCATCTAAGTGCCTTGTCAATGAGCAAGGTAATAATAAATCCAACCTTCGCCCTGTCAGTAGGGTAAGCGTGGGGTTGTAACTCAAAATGAATACCTATCTGGTTTAAAAAACCTCGACAAGTGTCAGGAGCGCCGCCATAGCGTGACGGGGACGTAACACGGGAAGAAGTAGCCACTGTGGCTACCTCTAGGCCTGTACTTATAGGAGAGATAGATGGGGTACGCATCTCCTCTGAGTGATTACTAGGACGAGATAGCAATGCTTGTAGAGCTAGAGCCATCTGTTCCATTCTATGATCCATGGCCTCAAATCTGGAGTCAGGAGAACCGACCTGAGAGCTTGTACCTGCAGGATCCATTGGCCCTGTCGTAATGTCAGGATCGTGACAGGGATCCAAGACGCAGAATACAAACAGGAGATAGGTACGTATACCGGACCTTAGAGTGGCCGGACTAACGTAAGGAGAGAGCAAAAAGAATGGTCAGAGACAAGCCGAGGTCAAGGGAGCGAGAGATCAGGTAAGCGAGAGACAAGCCGGGTCAAAAGGACAAGAGAGTAAAGCAGGGTCAGAATACAAGCCGAGTCAGGAACCAAAAGACAATAGAGGTAAGTGCACTGAGTGACCAGACTAGCTAGAACCACGACAGGGCAATGAATCATTCCACAGAACCCTTTTTTATACCTTGGCTCTTTAACTGTTGGCTCCGCCCCCAACGAGTCCTGATTCGTTGTTCGGCACTTGGTTGCCGTGATTGACGGGTCGGAACGTGATTGCCGTCATGACGTCGGCTACTGAGCGCCGCGTCATAAAAGGAGGCGGAGCTATCGCGGCCGGCGTGTAAACGACCGGGAGGAGTGCAAGGATCGGGTGAGTCAGCCCCCCTGGAAGGATGGACGTCTAGGTGTCTAACCTCCTCCGAGGTAGACACCAAAGGTAACCTGACAAAGTGGTCCTTAAAGTGGAAAAAAGGCACTTTTCCTTATCACAAAGATAGGTGTGACCTGGAATTATCAAAAGTATACTATTCTGCAAGCATAGGCAACCTTCGGCACTCCAGATGTTTTGGACTACACCTCCAATGATGCTTTGCCAATATTATGGGTGTAAGAGCATTATGGGGGATGTAGTCCACAACCTCTGGAGTGCCAAAGGTTGCTTATCCTTGCTATACTGTGTGGAACATAGCATAAACTCATATATAAATCGGACTGGAGAGGATCTCCATCAGAATAAATCAAATTTCAAAATAATATTACTTACTGTGAGACTAGCCAAATAAGGCTTCTCCTAAACCTAACCACCAATTTAACCCCTTAAGGACACATGACATGTGTGACATGTCATGATTCCCTTTTATTCCAGATGTTTGGTCCTTAAGGGGTTAATGATTTAGGAAGTATATTAAAAGATCAGCTCTGTGCTTAAAATTGCAAAAAGGACTTTATTAACTAAGCCTAAGTGGTGTACATGTTCCAGGTAATTTGTTGATCCCGGTGCCTGGCCCACAGCCGCTCTATAGCCCCGCTCTGACCACACCCACCACCGATTCAGGCCTCAAGACCAGTGCAACTTACCATTTTTCCCACATTGTGCTGGTCCTGCCAGCCTCCAATGGACCTGTGATGACTCTCATGATCGCAAAGTCATCACTGAGTGCCAGTAATACGCCATTCCTGGAAGTGACATGACTAAGGCTGGGGATTGGAACATATCAACAACAAAAAATGTGACATATTCGCTTTAAGCAGTTATAAGTGTATTAATTCATAGCAAGGATTCAAACATTACTAGTTGTTTCGTCCTCTGGTGATTGATGTTATTACATGTAAACAGAGTGAATTAAATAAAACAATGATTATTGCTATTTATATACTGCATCGGTGTACAATTAATAAAATACATGCTTACACTTTTCAACAGATTTAGTTAAAGAATCAATTAAGAGCAAAATAAAATGTTTTTTTTTTTTTTTACTGTACTAAGATGAAAGAGCTGGCTTAAATAGAGTAATAACTGATACACTCTTAAAAATATGAATTTTACAACAATAATATAACACAATAATACAACAAGATATTTTGGAAATTAGTAGCCATATTCCATCAATGCATTTTCTCACAGTCAATATACAGTATTGAGTTGAAAAGGTTACATATAAAAGATAAATTGAAACTAAATGTTTCGTTTGTTTAAAAATAAAGATAATGTTAAAAACACTTTTGTTATAGTCATAAGAAAACAAAAATGTGGTTCTATGTTCATTTTAATAAGCCCTCATTGAATAAGTGTGGGATACTAATAACACCATCAGGAACGAACTAATGATTCGCGCTGAATAAACCGGTTTATCCCCGCCACATAACAGTAAAAACCGTCTTCACCATGGCACCTCTGGGTAACCATGGGACCGGGCACGCTAGTTTCACCCGCTGATTACCGCATGACATCTTGGCTGTCAGTATGGCGGGACAACAAGCGCTAGGGGCACCATCACCACCGAGCAAGGGTGACAGTTAACCCTTTCACTACCAGTACACAGCCAGTTACATTGCCCCTAGCCTGATGTAAGGTTTTTAAATGAAACCAGTTTGACATATTAATGTGTAAATATCGATTAGACAGGCTGCGAAATGGGTTAATTGTAGAACTTAGGTAATTAAGTTAATTGTACTTATAAAAAAATCTCCGGCAATGAATGGGTTATTTGCAGGTTATAATGTATCTATTCAGATGTCATGTAAGGTATATTGGTGACGTCACGCGGCTAAGGAACAAAGATAAACTTTTGCAAAGTTCTAAAGATGGAATGCGGTGACGTCGCAAGGACCATCCAATCAGGTTTTACCCGCTGCAACAGCCGGTGAGATGCCCGGGTATCCTGAGCGGCGGTTGCCTAGCAGCGGCTCGTGCAGGGAATCCCTGGAGTGACGTAACATGGCAGGACTTCCTCCTCTTCCCTTGAGCCGAACTCTTCCACCAATCAGGACTAAGGACAGGTGATTCCCGCTGCAACAGCCGCCCGCTCAGTCTTTATATAGGAGAATAGTACCCAAGGGAACATCACATGGATTAGGGAGACAAAGAGCCAGGTGAGGGGCCTCGGAATAGGAAGCATGGACTGGAAATTAGAGAGACTGTCATGTCTTAAAGTGAGATCTGACCAGGATGTAATGTGGGTAAGTGCTTGCTATGGCTTAACACAATGTGGGCACCTGTGATATGGTTAATGGGCTGCATAATAATCTATAATGTGGGTAAGTGCTCTGGGTGGTAAGAATACATGTTATGCAAGGTTATCAGTAATTTTAAGTTATGCATGGCCTTTAATGATGTGAGTAGATTATCATTAATGGTGCTAGATAATGTGAGTGTGATGCATAGTAACCCACAGTATGGCGAAGTATTATGCAAGGGTATACATTATTTGTGTACGTTTTCATATTTGACATGAGTGTTGTGCATGGCTGTCAGTGGTGTGAGTAAGAGTGTTGTGCATGGCTGTCAGTAGTGTGAGTAAGAGTGTTGTGCATGGCTGTCAGTAGTGTGAGTAAGAGTATTATGCATGGCTGTCAGTGGTGTGAGTAAGAGTGTTGTGCATGGTTATCAGTAGTGTGAGTAAGAGTATTATGCATGGCTGTCAGTGGTGTGAGTAAGAGTGTTGTGCATGGCTGTCAGTAGTGTGAGTAAGAGTGTTGTGCATGGCTGTCAGTAGTGTGAGTAAGAGTATTATGCATGGCTGTCAGTGGTGTAGGTATGGTATACATGGCTATCAGTGGTGTAGGTGTGCCATGCATGGCTATCAGTGATGGGAATGTGCTGTGCATGGCTATCAGTGATGTGCATGTGCTATTCATAGCTATCAGTGATGTAAGTGTGTGCAGTGCTGTGCATGGCTATCAGTGATGTGCATGTGCTATACATGGCTATCAGTGGCGTGAGTGTGCTATACATGGCTATCAGTGGTGTGAGTATGCTATACATGGCTATCAGTGGTGTGAGTATTCATGGTAATAAGTAATATGTGTTGCATGACAATCCATAATGTGTTTAGTGATATATTTTCCAGTGGTGGCTGACCCTCTGCACTTCACAAATTTCCATAAAACTGTCTGAGTAGATGAGATTCATAGTCAACAGCACCTGAAGTGTGTACAGTTAGTTTAATAGTACTTTTATTACGCCTCGCTACTTTTGTTACACCGGTGACCTGTCCTAGGACCTGATTTAAATTTTTTGTGTTTTTAGGAAAATATAATGAAGACACTTGGGAAAGACTTTAGAAAGACCAGAAAATTCAATTTGCAGAAAATCACCAAGGTGAGAACTTGTTTCATCTGAAAATGTATCTTTCAAAGCTCTGCGGAATAAATTGGCGCTATATAAACACTAGTAATAATAATCCAGGGATGGCTAAATCTGTTGCAGTGAAGTAGTTGCATTTAAAATACAGTTTTATTATTTGGCCCAGCTGAAGTTATATTTTCAATCTATATCAAAAATCGAATAACCACAATAGAACTTTGTGAATTTACCCGTTGATTGTTCCACAATTGCTGAAATCTTTACTGGCAGCAGATGTATACTTATGTTTTAGTGATTTAGATATGCTTTTTAATTATATTGTTTACCTAAAGGACAACATTCATCGCAAAACTATGTTTAAAATCTAATTATCCTTCCATAAAGCTCTGAAAGGAAATAGATCTTTTTTAAAACAAAGTATATGTAAAAAAAAGTGTAACTCCTCATTCTCCACCTTTGCTACATGACATGATCCTTCATCCATATAAATACAGCTTGGGTCAGACACAGTTTGAAAACCAACAGTTAATCTCTATGGTCTTCCCTGTGTCAGTGCAGGGAGTGAAGCAAAAAAGACCGTAGAGACTAATGATCGGTGGTCGAAGAAGGTGTATGTATATGGCTGAAGGATCTTGTCATGTAGTACAAGTAGGGATGAGTTTTTCTCATTTTTATTTTTTTACATGTACTTAAAGGGACTCTCCAGTGCCAGGAAAACAAACTTTCCTGGCACTGCAGGTCCCCTCTCCCTCCCACCCCCATTCCAAGTTGCTGAAGGGTTTAAAACCCCTTCAGTGACTTACCCGTATCCAGCGCCAATGTCCCTCGGCGCTGGTTCAGAGTCCGCCCACGCTCCTCCCCCGTCGACGTCATCCGGCCGGGGAGATCTAATGCACATGCGAGGCAATGCCGCGCACGTGCATTAGACTTCCCCATAGGAAAGCATTGCTTTCCTATGGGGATTTCAGCAACGCTGGAGGTCCTCACATAGCGTGAGGACGTTGAGCGACGCTATAGAACACGGAATGTGTGCTATAATCACGGAAGTGCCCTCTAGTGGCTGTCTAGTAGACAGCCACTACAGGAGGAGTTAACCCTGCAAGGTAAATATTGCAGTTTATGAAAACTGCAATAATTACAGTTGCAAGGTTAAGGGTACTGGGAGTTGGCACCCAGACCACTCCAATGGGCAGAAGTGGTCTGGGTGCCTGGAGTGTCCCTTTAATTAAAAATAAAAATAAAAATCTATTTCCATTCAATACTTGATGGAACCGGAATAGGCAACCTTCGGTACCGCAGTTGTTTTGGACTACCCCTACCGTGATGCTTTGCCAACATTAGAGCATTGGGGGAGATGTAGTGCGCAACATCTGGAGTGCCGAAGGTTTTCTATTCCTGGATTATTATATTAAAAAGTTATTTTTAGGTGACAGTTATCCTTTGAAGTAGTCATATTTATTTAGCGACTTCCCTTTTGGGGGCCCTACATGTTCCCAGCACATTACTTTGGCAGTTATACTTGGAAAACAAAGGGTTAAAGCAATGCTATTCTAGTACCATGAGCCAGTATCCTCTAGCAGCTGCAGCACGGTCGTGCTGTAGTCCATTTATTTTTGTATTTGCCCCAGTACAAATGATACTCGGTTTTACAAGGTACACAGGTTTGTGGAAAAATGTTTTTTTTTTATTGCTTGTTGGCTGTTGTGTTGTGAACTTGGACAGCTACTAGTTGCACTCCACATTGTGATTTCCAAATTCTTTGAAATAGCATCAGCACCATCTAGTGGATAGTTGTTTTACTACACGTGAGGATTAAAACAGTATGTTAACTGCTCACCTTTAGAATTTATCCAAATTACATGTGGTATTTTTATCTGTATAAAAAGTAATGCTTATTGTTTGGTGTTTGCGTTTTGATCATCACTGGTTCATATGATTTCTAGATCTTTCAAAATCTAGAATCTAAATGTTCCAATCATCCAGACATATCATTTTGAGGACCAGTCCAGTGCTGGATACCTGTGTCAGGTAGGCAGTGTATTTTTAGCTGGCTGCTTGTTATTAAGTTCAGCAGTCGCTGATATACTGCCACTTGCTCCAGGAACATGTCTTCGTAACCCAGTGGAATAATGGATTTTGATCTCTCATCAGTGATTCTGTGTGTAGAGAGATGGCAGTGTAATGTTAGCTGGAAGGAAATTTAGAAAACACCGGCTGACATACACTTGCCCCCTTTCTTCATATGAGTGCTCCAATTTCCTTCTTCTGAAATGAATGGTACAGGTATTTACTTTGATCTGTAGCAACAGGTATCTTCAACTTTATTGATTGTTAACCTAAGTAAAGCCAAAAGGATACCTACAGAGCAAATGCACCTATAAATTAATATATAATTTATAAATGTTTTCCTGTGATCTGATACCTAATTTTTCTTTACAAAGCATTGAAAACGGGCTACATATATATTGCATTATACCTTGTTTTCTAAGTAAAAATTTTCAAGATAATACAAAAGTTAATAAAAGATATCAATTATCTTCATTCCAGCAGAATATTTCCTTGATGCCAAATTTAAACAACCTTGAAAATCAAAGGTCCTTATTGAGAAGTGTCTATAGTGGCTGTGTGTCTGAAAACCACTACTGGCATTTTTAAGGCAGGATGGAAATATTGTTTTTCTGGGATGGCAGTATATTACATTGCCAGACAAAAAAGGGACATGGTCTATGTACCAAAACTACAACATTATGATGTAGGGGTCTTGGTGCGTAGAGTGTCCTTTTAATATGCCCAAAATCTGTTACTGAAGAAAACAAGTCAGTGTAATGTATAATCAATTTTCAGCATTTATTGAAAGAATCTTTCATTGTAATGTTATGTCTTCTTTACTTTGTGCACTATAGAGTACACACGTACTGTCCAAAAATACACACTGTGGGTGTTCATTTAATTCACGAAATTGTGATGACTTGACAACAAATTTGTAAAACATAGACCGCAATAGCCAAGTTTTATTTTGTCCAACTTGGCCTTTTTGCCTCCATTTTCCAAGTTAGTGGTCAACTCTTCACACATTCGTGTTAGTTGGTCACTGTATGTCGCTATTTGTCAATGTACACTGCAGACAATGGGTTTGTTTATTCCGTGTTTCCTGTGTGTTATGTCTGTGAGCATTTATTGCTTATCTAGCAGGCAGCCCATGAAACACGGAATAAAGTTAGTTTCATGTATGTGTGGTGATTCGGCAGTGTATTGTTAGTTTGCTGTTGTACCAAAACCAGCAGCTACCTACACTACCACATTATCACATGGCATATCGTCTGGTGATGTAGAGGTGGGAGGGGGGTTTGCAGAGTACATTATGTTTCTGGCACAATACTGTGATATTTAATTGCAGCAGGTCTTTCACAACCAATAAATGATTAATTCAGAGATCTTGGTGAATATTTTGTAAAACCCTCAACATGTCCCTAGGGTGCTGTAACTCGTGGTCTAGTGTGGGTTAGTTTGAGGCAAGGAATCACTGCCTTCCTCTGCTACCATCTCCTGCACCCACCGTTCTAGATGGAGGTTGTGAGGATATATATTGGCTCCTTTGTAATAGCGCATGCTCTAGAATGGCAGTTTTAAAGAATAAATCTGTACTGCTTAATTATTTTATCTTTTGCATTACCATATAGTAGGGATGCAATCACAACATTACAATTGTCTAGGCCTCATGATTTGCAATCCCATTTGTTCATTAAGTCTTATAAAATAATAAAATACAGACTTTTATTGTATCACAACTGTATTCTAACTCCGAGGTTGATTTACAAACTTGCCTGATGCTGTCCTGATGCTGATGCCCTACGCGAATTATGAAATTTGTAGCTTGTAATAGGAACCTTTAATTGTCCCTTCCCTCATTCTTGTCCTGAAGGCTATTTACCAAACCAGGCATATTGTAGGAGTTATCAGAAAAAATTATATTTTAGAACAAAATAACTAATTTGGATAAATTCTTAAACTCGCCTATTTTGGCCTAAATGTGCCTGTGCATGATCTATACCTGACAATTACCAGTTTAGTATATAAGCTTGCAAGTGTGACTTCGATGTTTCTCATGTTCACCTGTGCAACATAGTTATGTATTCGATCAAACGTTAACAGGAAATAATGTTTTTATGTCATATGTTAAAAGCATTCTATTGCCTTTTATCTTTAAAGGGACACTATAGTCACCTGAACAAATTCAGCTTAATGAGGTTGTTCAGGTGAGAACTATAGCTCCCTGCAGCCTTTCTCATGTAAACACCGTATTTTCTGAGAAAATACAGTGTTTACATTGAAAGCTAGGAACACCTCCAGTTGCAGTCACTCAGAGTGAACCAGAGGGACTTTGGAGTTGATGGAGGCATAATATGCCTCCATCCACTCAGATATGCTATCAGCAGAGCACAGGGCAGCACTGTGCACAGCATCCTGTGATTCAGTATCTCCTCCCTCTGCATGCAGACACTGAACTTTTCTCATAGAGATTCATTGATTCAATTCATCTCTACGAGGAGATGCTGATTGGCCAGGGCTATGTTTGAATCATGCTGGCTCTGTCCCTGATCTGCCTCTTTGTCAGTCTCAGTCAATACTATGGGGGAAACACTGTGATTGGATCAGGCTACCACATGTCAGCAGACTGCTTGTTTTTCTGAGTCTAACAGCATGCCGATTTACAGCTTCATGTTTGAATACAGTAAGATTTTGACTATATTTATGGAGGGATGAGGGGCCCAGAGGGGCTAGATGGTGGTATTAACACTATAGGGTCAGGAATACATGTTTGTGTTCCTGACCCTATAGTGATCCTTTAAGGTATACTCTAAGCACCAAAAGAATGTTAGCTTAGTTTCAGTGTATAGATCATGCCCCTGCAGTCTCACTCCTGAATTCTCTGCAATTTAGTTGTTAAATTACTTTGTTTTTTACAGTCCTAGCCACACCTCTCATGCCTGTGACTCAAACAGCTTCCATATAAAAAGGTTTCATTTTTACAGCACTGTATGTTTACTTTAGAAGTGATTATCTTCTGCTTGGTTAATTGAACTTTAATTACACACAAGAGGCTGTTATTGGCTCTAGCAGGCAATTAACGGAACAGAAGATAAGAAATGATAAATTAAACGCATTATGCAGTTAGAGAAGCTGAAAGAATTACGCTGTTTTTCCATAATTGTGCATGAAGGCAGTATGAGTCTCATCAAGTAAAGGTGTTGTTAGGGCTGCATGAACAAAGTGATTTAACTCCTAAATAGTAGGGCAGAAAGTCTACATGGCATATTCTATTCATTAAAAGCACTTAATTTAGCAGATGTTGTTTTATTAAGTGTTCGTGTGCATCAAACTCAATACTCCTAAAGCACTTCAAATTTCTTTGTGAGTAGATATCTGATATATTTAAAACACAGTATGGATGATAGAACATTGTATTTCAATATCCAGCAACAGAGTTTATCTGGCTGGTGAGAAATAGGAATTTTCTTTCACTACAAACACAAACATTCACATCTTATTTTCCATTATTGCTGTTTTTAGTTAATTCTAATTTTTATCATTCGAAGCAATTCTAAATTTATGTATAAAAGTAATTTATCCAGTGATACTAAAAGTTGTGGCGTGTGTACGACCACTTGTTGGGCTGCCGTGTCATCCCAGTGGAGAAACCCAGCATTAAAGAAAATAACTGGTTAAAAGACCCTCCATGCAGTAGACATGTTACAAGTAGCAATGTGCTGACATTGAAACATTATAGCAGAACTGTCCTGTTCAACAAATTGGGGGACGGAGGAAATTACTGTCCTGTTTGAAAAGCAATGGTATATGGTAATCTAAAAATGAAAACCTTAAACAGATGTTACAGAATATTTGCTAACTTTAACAAATTTATTGGTTTATTAAAACCAACATCTTTGGTACAATAACCGCTGAAGTAAGTTGAATGCATCAACAATCTAAGGACTGCTACTATCTTTTGATAAAGCCAGTTTTATGTTGCACAAGTTGGCTTGGTTTGGCAACTGCACTTAGATTCTCATCCTTGCCATATTGGGCATAATATAAATCCATTCAATGTCAACATTTTACTGTGTTTTGAACCCCTCACCTCCATCCCTTTAAAAAAAGTTTTCTAGATTTAGTCACTATACCAATAATTTCGATAATAAGGCAACAACATTTTAGGATGAAATAGCTTAACTGGAAAAACTCTTTTACTAATGCTTTTTCTGAATTTGCAGGTGTGAATTCTAAATGCTTTTTCAATTTAGTGAATGAATGAACCCAAACAATTTAAAATGTCTTAGGTTCTATATAGAACACGGAATTAGATTTAAAATGACAGTTACAATATCAACTATTTTACATATGATATATAGAATTTCCAACACAATAAATTCTTGCGAATATATGTTTTATTTTCATTTAACAGGATTCCTTGCGTTTGTGTTCTATTGCCCATCTTTGTTTGGACCCTGATGCCGATACCGTTATGTCTGCGTGACCACTGAGATTGTCCGTTAAAATTTTTGATCTCGTGAAACACAATGCTAACTAGTAGACCACATTTCACAGCTGTTACTCAAGGCTACATACTCTTTGTACAGAGCTTCATAACTAATCAGCTAGAATATCTAATTAAATTACTCAAAATGCTAATTACTGCATAATGGTTTTGAGCTTGATAACCTTTCCGAAACTCATAGCACCATGACATATATTGTAATGCTAATTAGAAGCAATGAAGAAATTGGAACATAACTGCAGAATCAACTCTTTAATTTGTCACTTAAAGATGATATGTCCAATAATAAGAGATAGAATATTTTTTTTGAATAGATTGAATAAAACTTTGAAGAAATTTATAGAAGCAACTGTCTCTAAGATTTCTTGAGAGGACAAACTTTCACTTTAAATATTTTGAGTAAATAAAAGTTCACTTTAAACACATTGAGAAGTTGAGCAGTAACTTTTAAACACTTAAGATGAGCAGTCACTTTAAACACCTTGAGAAGTTCAGAAGTAACTTTGACAACTTTAAATAGATGAACAGTCACTTTAAATACCGTCAGAGGTTAAGCAGTAGCTTGGAATACTTTGAATTGATGAAAAGTCACTTTAAAAACATTGAGAGAATAGACAGTCACTTTAGGTAGTTTGTCAAGTTGGACAGTCATTTGTGATATTTTGAGGAAATGAAATGTACCATGTAATGTGAGCTATGTGTATATATATAACTGGTCCTGTTAGTAACTCTTCCGCCTATCATTTGGTACCTAGTAATGCCATACTAATGAACATACAGGTAAGCTTACAAGGGATAATTCGATTATTCTAATAATAATAATAAAAAAAGTAGACTTTAGAAGCCTTTATGTGCCTTTTATTGCATAATATCAAATGATAGCAGACACACTGAGAAAAAAAATTATTGACTTTGAGAATTAACAGTGATGCTCAAACAACACTCAAACAGAATGGCAGGAAAACCCATTTAAAAAGTATGACATAGGTTGATCCCAATTATGCACAGCACATAAACATTCTTACTAACTTACAGAACAGTAACCAGCGCACTCAAATTCATATGTGTATTTCCAGTTTGAGACCAAAATAGCCAATTATAAATATCTCCAAGTCAGCGATGGTCTCTATTCAACTATTTTGGGTTAAAATGGGAAATTCACTTTAAACTCCAGGCTACTGACACTCTACAGGGATATTTACTAATAGGAGAATTGTTGGGAATTCAAAGTGAATTTCAAATTAAATACTGTACTGTTAATTAAGGCACTTTTTCACACTGACATCAGCGACAGTAAAGAGAAGCCTTTAATTGGACCAATGTACCTGCTCAGAGAGCATGTACACACTCAGAGCGGCCAAGAGGAAGATCAAAGTTGTAAGGAAGATTGGGATGTTGGAAATTGGATTGGAAAAACAAGCACTATTAAGGGTATAGGGAGCACACTGTGCGCTGTCGACTGATGCATTTTTCCAGACTGCCAACGTCACATGTGTTAGGGATGTAACTAGCTCCTAGCACAAAAGTGGAAATCACTGAAGTGGTCGTGGTGGTTGAAGTAACCGTTTAATATTCTCTTACAAGGCTACTGTTATATTGTTGTTCACGTAAAGAGAAACATTACGTTTTGAATACATGTAGGAGTAAAGCCTGTTCATTGGAACAAATAAAACAGATATGCTTGAAGAAACACTTTAAAAACTTTTAGTTTTTTTAAAATCCTTTAAGCACTAATGATAGTCTATTATGTAACAACAATCTGATCATTATATACTGTACTGACATAGCATATCCTTCGAGATCACATTGTGATCATAGGTAACATGACATATAATTTGTCCCAATGGAATAATTGTAAATACATTGTTAAGTTAGTGTGGTCCATGTACTTCCTAACTTTCCCGTATCTGTTAGGAAAGTCACTATACCAGATTTTTCTCCTGTGTTTTGCTTCTGAGGACATCAGTGAATAGCCTTCAAAATGTGCAGTGTGATTGTATCATAAAACATGACCTTTGTGTGCAAGAATAATGTCGAGAATCTTTCCCATGAAGCCTAGGCAGCGCTATGTGCACCAAATTTATAGCACCCAGTGTATGGTTGCATATGGTATCATAGCCATTAGTGGCCTCAACTATTTTCACATATATATTATTACTTTTTTAAATCAATATTATCGGCAATATTCATATAAAGTGCCTCACATCCTGAAAATTCTAATTGTTTTGTAAGACATTCCCCATGGGGCTTTCAGAAGTAGATGTTAAAGGAACATTTTGTTAGATATGCAAATCTGTATTCCTAACGCTATAGCGTTCCTGTCCCTACTTGTAGGTAGGTTTCCCCACTCCCCCCCTGCAAAAACAGAATGAATAAAATAAAAATGCACTTACCATTGTCCAGGTATGAGGCTCTGGAAGACAATGGTTCCAATGGTTCTCATAGAGGAGCATTGGGGACCTAATGGTCATCCACAGCGAGTACTGCATGTGAATTCAAACTTTCTCAAAGGAAAGCATTGTATCACTGCTTTCCTATTGGGCTTCCACATCATGTGACAGAGCTTAAATAGCTCAGTGCATTGGATGCGCCTCTCGTGGCTGTCATAGAGAAGGACTTAACTCTGCAATGTAAACATTTCACTTCCTCAAAAAAGGGACAGGGACACTGCACCCAGAACACTTCAATGAGATGAGGTGGTCTGTGTGACTATAGTGTGTCCCTTTAAGAACTATATATAGAAATACTGCGATGTGCTTATGGTGATGTGTAAGAAAATTCTAAACATTTAGAGAAGACAGTGAAGCACATTTTGGAGATTTCTATGTGTTTTTAATCTCTGTAATTAGAAAAACCCATCCACTGAGTTATTCTGTGAAGTTTACATACAATAAAGTGCTTTCTCTTTTTGAATTTAGTTACATCTGACAACATTTAGGTGCTCTGGGAAATGGCATTAACCAGTGTCAATAAGCCGTGTATGCTCACTTAGCTTCCATGATGGGTGTCTACCACTGCAGAATGTATGATATACACAGGCAGGTCCAGCAGGGTACACACAACTAATAGCTGATAGCAACTCTTTCACGTAATGGAAGATTACAGAAAAAAGTGCATATCAACACTAGACTTACAGAAACATAGTAACTATTTTTTTAAATATATTAGTTAACTTTAAACTTTCCAGTTAACATTGATAATGAAGAAGTTTTTTGTAATTTATTTCAGGATAAAAATGCATCTGTCTATGTGTTATTGTATTCAATTACCCTGTTTATGTTATCGCTGTTTACGTATAGTGATAATTTATTACAATTATGTTTTTTTTGCCGTGGTTGCAGTATCAAAATGAGAATCAGCTGTTCATAATGTAGATCTTTGATAACTGACCTAAGCCATCAGCTACTCTACACATAGTGAGTTGAGTAAAAAAGGAACCTTAGCTAACGTTCAGAAGGTAGGGCCATAATACAAAATAGTTCCATCATTAGCAAATGAATACCTATTAAACAACATACATTAAAACATTTTTTTTTTTTAAATCATGACACCATTTAGCCGGGTTTGGTAAAGAATCTGAGAATTGTTTTATGCTATAATTGAAATATAAAAGAACCTTGTTTAATGTCATTCTCTCTTGCCAGAGTTACTGTGCAATATCCTCTGTAGACGGCAATTACCAATGCTCGTCATTTAAAATTCCTTTTGGATTTGTAAACTTGTTTATGTAATATATTATATTAGTGGTACTTTTTTTTGTAATTTGGTCTATTTGCTCATTCAGGTCTCTTTTCACAGGTTTGCTCTAATTTCAACAAAATACAAAAGACAGGTATTTGAATGAGTTGGGCAAGATTTTTTTTTTAGAAAAAAGTAAAAAATCGATTTTTTTTTTTAAATTTGCACCCCTGCCCATAACAGTTCTGTTCACATGACGTCACTTCAAAGGTCTTCTCTCTTCTTCATGATAATTTCTCGGACTATAGCTGCTACTTCTTGCCTGATGCCTTCAATTGGTTCCTCGGGTCTCCAATATTTAACTACTTGGCCTTTTGTATTAACAAGGTATTTCCAAAAATTCCACCTGGGTTCTTTTTTTGCTGATTCTGAAAACAAATATAAATATGTATTTAATAAAGTGCACAATAAAGTGAATAGATGGCACTTATTATATGTAAATAAGTCAAAATATTATAGTGAAAAATAGCAGCAACCCTAAAAGTGTCAAGCCTGCAAAAGAACACTCCCACTAAAGCCTAAATTGATAATGAGCACTGTGCCTTTAAATTGCGCTCTTCCCACAAGGTGTGTTGTGCAAATGATTAATATGTACACACAATGGAAAATGCACGTACAACACTTGAAAATAAAATCCACTTCATATGAGAAATGATAGAAACAGACATTGTACAAAACCTTTTTAGCAACAATAAAATATGGATTAGAAATGTGCTTGGTGTTTGGGAAGCTGGAAGCTTTAGCTCTGAGCTTATCTGTTTGGTCCATTACATTTTTCGCTTATCCATGATTTATATTGGTTAATGCTATGTGCTGTTGTAATAAAAGTTTGTTCAACTTGAAGGAATACCGTAGCGTCAGGAATACAAACATGTATTCCTGAAACTAGAGATCTAAATAGCCATTTAGGTTGCCGGCCTCCCCTTGTCCGCTGTTAAATAAAGTGATTTTAGTCACCTTTTTCCATCGCCGCATGGGTCTCCTCTGGAATGACTCCACCCATACCACATCCCCTTGGCTGAATTAATCAAAATTGACGATCTCATCTAAACCAATGCTTTCCCAAAGGAAAATATTGAGAGGCTATTGCGCATCTCATCCTAGAGATCCATTGAATCAATGCAGCTTCATGAGGAATGTGCAGTGCCTCCATGCAGAGCGTGGTGACACTGAATGTCAGGGCTGCACAATGTGCAGCACTGACCCAGGAAGCACCTTTAGTGCTTGTCTGAGTGACTGCCACTAGAGGTCTCCCTTGACAGTAATTAGCTGAATAGGCAGTGTTTACATTTAAAATTAAGCTACATTAAGCTGTAGATTTCCTGGCAACTATAGTGTCCTTCGACTGCGCATAATGCCAGTGTAGTCCATTTATATACCTCATTACCACATTCTGGAAGCAGCTTTGGAGTACTTTTTAGTGAGGCTTCAATGTATAGAGCAGAACTTTATCTGCTCTATGTTTGTGAGTGACCGTTTTCCATTCTTATATTTTATTGTGGCTAAAAGGTTTTATACCATGTCTGTTTTCTTTTTTTTCTTTTCTCATACATGTGCTGAAGTTGTAAATGCAATTTCTATTGTGTATACAAATTAATAATTTGCACAACACACCTCTTGATGAAAACTGTAATATTGCATCAGTTGCCGCTAATATGTAGTCAATAAAGATATCACATATATTTAACCAAAAATATATCTTTGTTGATTACGTTTTAGCGACTACTGATGCAATATTACAGTTTTCAGTAGACTGTAACTTAAAAAGTAGATTTATCATTTTGTAATAACTCTATAGGAACCAAGTACTGACTTGCAGCTGAATTAGCAAGTCGGCTGACTAATTTGTAGGCTGCCCATTATTTCAATGTGGACACAGGGATCTATTCACTAGACTAGCATTACGGTGGGAAGATAGACTTCTGACTCGCTTAACACTAGTCTCAAATAGCAAACAGAACAATTCCAACTAATCTGGCAGTCTGAAGTTGGTTTGCTGCTTCGTTTTCCATTTTTTGTTCAATGAGTAAGCAACATAATACACTGATGGAAAGCTTATAAACATGGGAGGTATTAAATGCCCATAAATGTTATCCACCAAAGAATCACCCCACACTTGGTAAAAAGAAGAAAAACTACCACAAGAAGAGGACATAGTCTTAAATTAGAGGGACATAGGTTTAAAAATAATATCAGGAAGTATTACTTTACTGAGAGGGTAGTGGATGCATGGAATAGCCTTCCAGCTGAAGTGGCAGAGGTTAACACAGTAAAGGAGTTTAAGCATGCGTGGGATAGGCATAAGGCTATCCTAACTATAAGATAAGGCTAGGGACTAATGAAAGTATTTAGAAAATTGGGCAGACTAGATGGGCCGAATGGTTCTTATGTGCCGTCACATTCTATGTTTCTAAGTGAAATGACAGCAGCCCTTTATAAATTGACAGTCTTCCCTTGTTGTTAATTTTTAGCTTAAACTGCCTCTGCAGCCAATCTACAGCTTTTCAGAATAGGAGTTTGTGTAGCATTGGGAATTCGTTGTATTTGTAAGCAGTGCAGCCCAGGGGCAAAGTATGGCAAAATAAAACAATACATTCTGTGAGTAAAGTCACATTGTGCCTCAACAATTTAGTCAAACAAAAAAACAGTGTTTTAAGAAAAGTATCTTCATGTCCTGGTACCTCTAAATCATTGTTAAAAAAATAAACTAAAATAAAACATGAACTTACCTCTGTTCCACTACCAGATTCTTCCTTCAGCCAAACCCTCCTCTGCTGACATAACTCCCCGTAGCTCCCGGGGAGGGATGTAGTTGAAGGATTGGCTAAGTAGAGGATTTTGGACATGTCACCAGCATGCTGTACGTGCTGGCAACCAATGTTCAATATGCACAGAATTGATATTAACCAGCCCATTTTTGATAGTGAAATGTTGTGGACTCCAGTCACCACGACCACTTCACATCACTGAAATGGTCTCAGTGCTTGGAGTAGCCCTTTCTAAATGTAATGCAGTGCCTAATCAGTGCTGTGTCGGCCCTACATTTAGTGAAGTGCTGGGTCATATATCTCTTGGGCTCTTCAAAAAAATCTTTCAGATGCTTATATTACCCCATTAACTCAGCCCCTCTTCCAGTGGCACAGCATTAGGGGCCTCAGAGGTCGCGCGTGAGACTTAAGGCGCCCCATGAGGCATATACAAAGGCCTCCCTGCGTGTGAGAAGGGAACGCTTAATATTTTATGCTCTGGCAGCAAAGCTCCCTCAGACACCCTACAGTGATGTTGGGAGCTGGAGGCACTGGCATCACTAAAGGGAGTGCTTGGGAGCAATGCTGGAAGAACACGAAGAATAGAGCAGCCACAGTAGAACCCAGGGAGAGGATGCACTCCAGTTCTCCCAAAGGTAGGCTGAGTGGGCCTCAAAAAAAACCCAAAACTATAAATTAAATTAATTTGTGAGTGTGTGAAAATATTAATGTACAGTACAAATGTACCATACCAGTGTGAACATGTTTGTCAGTGAGTGTGTGTCAGTATCAGTATTAAATGTGTATTATATTAAAGTGTACATTAAATAAGTACCGGTATATATTAAAGAGTTTAAATTCCATCTATAAATCCATCTGTCAGTTAAATCCTCAACATTATACCTGTGCGGCACCCATGGTCTAATGCCGGAAATTGAATGACTGGTGGTTCTCTTGCTCCCTGTTTCTGTGCTACTCCCCCAGCATGCAGGAAACCCCATATACAATCACACTCTGCCAGTCCATACAATTGCACTGATACTCTGTCAGCTCCACACACACATATCACACTCAGCCAACCAACACAATCACAATCAGCCAGCTTCACACAATCACACTCTGCTAACTCTATACATACCTATCACACTCAGCCAACCAAAACAATTACAATAAGGCAAGCAGCACACAGAATTCCACTCAGCCACCACACACATCCCACTCAGCCATCACACATACCCACTAAGGTGTTTAACTTAGGGTGGAGCAAGACTGGGGGGGAGAAAATGGACACCCTCATTTATAATGGGGGTGGGGTGCTGGTAAATGGCATGTCCCCGCCCCCTCTATACTTATTTGGAGCCCCAACACGTTGCCCATGGGTGAAGGCATAGGGGGACACTAGGTCCCCCGTAATCAATATTAGAGACACCCATATGATGCCCATAGGTTTATAAACACTTGTTGGCCATGGGATTTATGTAGAGTCCCATCGTAAGGGCATGGAAGAGACACTATGCCACTGGCTGCTCACTGTTAAGCAGACACACTCAGACTCGCTTCACAGCAAGTGGGGCCATGGGGGAAGTCTAAAAGTTTTACACTTCCCCCGTGGTCCAGCTCACCATACCGCGGGTTGGGGCATATCTTCTAAACAGCTGGCAGCTGCTCGCTGTAATTACTGAACGTCCAAATGGTATTTGATATGTAAACTATTAAGTCATTTTGTCATTTGGGCAATGGCAGCTCTGAAATTTTCAGTCTTCTCTCGTGTAATGTAGACCCCTCTGACAATAGGGTTTTACAGAATTGTTATTTGCAATTTCACAGTTAAAGAATGGGCCACTGCACTAATTCAAAATTGTTGTATGGTCATCAGGCAAACTTGTCAAACAGTTTAAAGAACCACTGATCTAGACTTGACATACAAATAATGATATGGACTATTTTTTTTGGTGTAGAGCAGTGTAGTAAGTCACTTACCCACAAGGAATTTAAACGCAGGTTCTGCCTCGGAACCTAGAATTTTAATTTTGCTAAAAATCGGGAAAGTTACTCCATAGTTCCCTTTGGCAAACATTTCTATTTCCTGGTTATCTTCTGGTTCTGACTCTCCAAACTGATTGCAAGGGAAAGCTAGGACACTGAAGTGGAATGGTCCAAACTCTCTGTGCAGTTCCTGCAGTTCTTTGTAGTTTGCATCTGTGTACTTGCAGGAGCTAGCCACGTTTACAACCAGAGATGCCTGCAGGGACAAGAGTGGAAACAGATTTAAATGCAAAAAAACCCACTGTATTCCTTTTCTCCTCTCATTTAAAACAACATCTTTTATTTGTATTCTCCTTCTGTTGTTTTTTACACCGTAAATCCATCAAGGCCCAGAGAGCCCAAATTATGTTGAAATAAGACACCATCTGGCAATCAAGGAGTTAAAGATGACATTGCCATATAAGACTTAGGGTGTCTTCCTCAGTGGTGTTTGTAGGAATACATGCCATGCTGGCACTCAAAGGGTTAATTACAAACAATGTTTCGAAAACCTCTTAAATAGCAACTCATGGGTTAAAACCCAGAATGTTCGAGTTGTGTATAGAACTCCAAACAACGATTATATATGAGTTGGCAGCAATGATGGATTACCAACGCAATTATAACTTGAGGAATAATAAATCAAATACATTACAAATTATACGGCAATTGGCAACAATATAAAATAGATAGTTCATATATTAGAAACATGTACTATAAACACACAATTATTAATTTACATCACATGAAACACATGATTAACACATCTGGACCACAGAGCTTGCAATCGAAATGTAATAAATTCTTAAATTACCTACAAGCCAGGTTAAAAGATCCGGGCTGTAACATGCAGACACTAGAATCACTTACCTTGCCTCTGTATTTACTCAAAGGAACTGTCCTCCCCTTGGAATCTTTAATTTCAAAAGAATAAAAATCTTTTGTCTTTGGCTTCACAAACTTTAACTGAAGAAGACATAGAATTGCTGTACAGAAAACCATAGAGAAGAATACAATGAATACTTTTGCTTTTGGGGAAGAGCACTTTAAGGGGTATGGTGGGAGAGTCTCCATTTTGGATATTTTGCTGGGAGGTTTTAGCAAGTCCCAGGAATGTTAGTTGGGAGGAGCAGAGAGGCCGTAACTCTAAACCATCTGAGTCAGCCCAAGGGCTGAAGGAGGAACGGAATCACAATTGTGTCTGTTTCTGAAGAGGAGGATCCAGTATCATCGTCTTTTGTTTGTTAAGCACCAACATATTCTGTAGCGCTGCACTATTTATTTATTATAAAATATTTTACCAGGAAAGATACATTGAGATTTCTCTCGTTTTCAAGTATGTCCTGATTGCAGTGTTGTGTAACTGACAAATACACTACATATCACATTTATACATGACCCTGCCTGTGAGATTACAACACAGTTTGCACACCTTGATTTGTCTTCCCTTCAGGATTTCTTGCAGCAATATTAAAGCTGTCCTGACAGTTGACATTCCAATATTCTCCAAGAACCTACAATGGTTAATCATCAAGTGTAAATTGTTGGAACTTTCAAACCAAATGCAAACTGAATTTCAAAATTTAGGCAACAATAACTGAAATAAAAACTTCAGTGTCAACTATGTTTTTAGTTTAACTATTTTGCTCTATATATTCAAAGCCACTTTTAATTCACCTTAAATTCCCAACAATTCACACCCTGGGTGAATAAGCCCTGTGACAAACCAAATTGCAAAATGTAGGCAAAATAGCTAAGACGTGTTTTCAAATCACCACTTATGAATACATTTAGAATTTTGAGTTACTATTTGTTACAATTAGATTTTTAATGGTTAAACCTTCGGCACTGCAGATGTTTTGCACTACACCTCCCCTGATGCTTGCCTGTAAGAGCATTATGGGAGATGTAGTCTACAACATCTGGAGTGCCGAAGGATGCCTATCCCTGCAAGGGGTTTATAAACTGCTATAGTCTTCTTTAAGAGCCTTTTATTTTCTTGACACAAGCAATGTTATTATTTTAAAGGGTTACTCAGACCACCATGACCATTGCTGCGTTTAGAAGTGGTTATGGTGGAAGGAATCTGCTTGTGCAGCATTTCTGCTTTAAACGCAACACAATTAGAGATTCTGATATTCTTGAGAGAAGTGAGACTTATGGAAAAATAAGTGAGACTTACCTGACAGAGCACTCTGATTGGCTATCTTACAAGCCAACCAAGCAGAACGTTCTTTCTGATATTGCACAGTGTGGGAATTGTTCTTCTGATAAGGACTTTCTCGACTATGAGAGCTCAGTCTGCTTTGAGATGGATTGATTTTTTGTATTGTATTTATTTATTTTTTTATTTTTATTTTGCATCAGTTAATATGGATTTTAATTTGTCCTTTTTTAGGGGCTGAATAAAAGTAGAGTTAGGAGAAAGAAGTATAATTTTTGTGGCAATTATAAAACAAATACTTTAAATCAATCTGGATACATTGTAACATGATGTTTGGTAACAGTGTCCTCCTCCAACCTATGTAAACTACCCTACTGCCTGCAGCAACATACTGCATGTTGCACTCTGTGAGCTTTTAGATTAAATGGAGACAAAATTACCTCTAAATGGTTTTACAATAACTTTTTGTTTATTAGGCTGTCTACTTCATAGTTTTGTAGTTGCTAATTTTGCTACCACGTTGACACTATTTAGTAGTTAATTCCCTAATATTTAAATGTTGTGTCTCTTTTTTTGTCTGTTCATTTGTGTATGATACTGAGTGTATGGGTAATTATTACCTTTTTATTTGATCTTTTTTTGATCTAGTAAAAGTTAAGTTTTAAGCTATTAGTATCCTGTTTAGATTGAGGTATAACCTACTTCCACTAGACTACCTTTTGGCACAATAACACTCTAAATCCTCCTATAATTTCTCTCTTTTTCCTTATAAATTAAAATATAGGGGTTACCCCTCACCTAGGAGGATTTATCTATATTTACTCACTCTTCTTTTTGTCTTTTTTGTTTTCTTTCTGGTATAACAGCTGTTTGGTATTTGTACTAGCCATGTCCACTAGAGGGCACAATATCATTGTTAGTATTGAGCCAAACTCAAGCTCTAAACATTATTAACCCCTTAAGGACGACGGGCATACTATGCCATCCTTGAAAGGGTGGCCCTAAACACCGGAGGGTGGCATAGTACGCCCAGCCTTCCTCCCGCCGTACCGGTCCCCCGGACTTACCTGGACCGGCGATAAATATATATGTATACACATCTTCTACATATATATTTAACTATTAATTTAAATAATTATTTGATCTTATTAATTATAATTTGAGGGCCCTGCCTGACAACGCAGGCAGACAGTCCAGATAATTTAATTGGCTAGCCCTATATTTAAACCTGTAACTTTCCAAAACACCATAAAACCTGTACATTGGGGGCATTTCTGAATACAAATATGTGTATTTTATTTCAGTAAAATCTAACAGCATTATGACATTCACAGTTAAAATGTCATGCAGAACTTTAAAAATAATAAAATTTCTTAATTTCTCATACTTTAGATTTTATTCATATTAAATTATGTATCATATATAAATATTTGATATGAAATGGAAGCCCTGTTTTTCTCCTAACAAAATTATATATAATAAGTGTGGGTGTACTAAATATGAAAGAGGTGAATTACAGTTGAACCACATATAGGGCAAATTCCAGGTTTTGTTTATGTTTTGTTTTGATCACAACTTGTACAATTGCATTGGCTCAGTCTTTAAGGGGTTAAAAGGACTAAACAATACTTAAGGGACACTTCAAACCCTACACTGAACAATTCTGTATTAAAATTTATACATAAATGTCTGACTTATATGAAAGTTGCTTTTTTTTCTCCAAAATTGGATATAGTTTTAAGCGGGCAAAACATCCACTATCTGCAATGAGCTCATCATGGTAAACAAATTATCAAATTGTATCTGGCTTTAAAAATAAAATTTGGACCATCTTTGACCAACTCCATACCCACCTTTTCATGTTGATTGGCTGCCCTGTCCAATATTGAATAGGTTAAGCAAATCCACAATATTTTCCTGTACTTGTAACTCTTTTGTCTGATGTGCAGCAGATGAAGACTTCTGCCCTGCACTATTTAGAATTCACATACTTAGTGGATTAAATAAATTCTTAAGAATTTGCTTAGATTTTTTCAGTGTCCTAAACTGTAGGCCAGCACTTTTCATATGTCACCCATCACTGTGAAGAATTAATATTAATCCGGGAAAACACAGTGGCAATTGTATTTTAAATGATGTAACTAAAAAAGCTGAGCTTTAAGAAGAAAAGGTTTACTGACTAAAATATGCAATATTGAAAATAAATATTGTAATCCTTAAATAATGCTGCAAAGTGCAAACTAAAAAAACATAAACAGAGCCAAAGAGAGTTAATATATACTAACTTTATGTGTAAAATTAGTAGAATTAGCAGAATAGTTCAGACCACTTCAGATAATTGAAGAAAAGTTCAGTGTTTTGAAGTGGTCATGGTGGAAGGACCCTATATGATCAGTGTTTCAAATCATCATCATTACATATTCAATATCGCTGCTGGAGGTGTAACTCCGCCTCTGGCAGCGTTATTAGCCTGCCCAAAACAAAATTTGCAGTCTGGCTAATGTCAGTTCTGTGCATATTCTTAGCACAGACTTCCATTCATTGGCTGAGATGCTTAGCTGGCTCGGCCAATGAATGAATGTCAGGATTGGAATCTGGCTTCGGCAGCTCAGTAGAAGTCAGATGCTGCTCAGCTGACATTGAGGTAGACTTAGCTACTTCAGGGACACAATGTAAGAGGCAAACCGTTAGTATTTTTTTTTTATGATCTTAATAATTTTTTGCAAAAAAGTCTTGCATTTTTTATTAAATTCATGACCCAGCTTTATATTGACCCTGGCTTTATTTTTTCAAGTTCGAGTAAGTATTAACACTCAAGTTTGTACTTAGACTCACATCAGGGACAGAGTCAGGGATTTGTGCTGTTTATCCCAAAAATATCCCCGCTTGTTATTATTATTATTATTATTATTTTTAATATTATTAATATGAGTAATAATATAGCTACGGCAGGCATTTTTATGAAAATAACTCAGGTAATAACTCATTGTTTAATGACTCACATGTTACATATTTACTTTAGCACAAAGTACCACCTTCGTGATACAATACAGTACAGAGAGACTCTGATCAATGTTGATATATATTTGTTGCTATCCACTTTATCTCAAAATCATATTTAAAATATGAATCATCTACTTCCTATAGACTCCAGACATTGGAAGAATCACATATTCCAGATTCAAAAAAAGCATCATGAGAAGGCGTGCAAGACAAGATGAAGTTTCTAGTAGTCCTATCTCCACTAGACAGCGCCATAATCATGAACCAGATTTGGAAAGTACACCTCTTGACCAATCAATCCATCTCTCTACTTCATCTTTTGGTGATCAGTGGCAAACTCCAGAGAAGAAGATTCTACTCCCATGTACGTATTTAGAGGCACATTTAGAGGATGGCAACACACATCCTCTGTGTGGAATTATATTAATTAAACAGTGTCCAGCCTGTGACTGCTCACAGTAACTGCAAACTTCCCATCAGTGGCGGATCCAGGGGGGGCAACAGGGCAATTTCCCCCCCCGCGATTCTCCCCTGCCGGCTAATGCAGGGCTGACATTGTCCAAGTGCCAGCCCTGCAATGTGCCTGAGGACCGGGGAGGGAGATCAGCGATCTCCCTCCCCAGTCCGCAGGCACTATGCTGACAGCCGGTAGGGAAGGGAGAGGGAGAGAGAGAGGACCCGGGAGCTCAGCCTGCAGCTCCTCCGGGTCCTACACTCGCGAGCACGGAGCGTTGCCGCGGTTACCACGGCACCGCTCCAAATCTCGCGAGAGTGAACTCTAGCCCTGGAGCCCGGGCTAGAGTTCACTCTCACCACTACTGGGACCACCAGTAAAGGTAAGAAGGGAGGGGGGACATAAAGTATATTTATTTTATTAAATAAAAATTTTTTATTAAAAAGCCTACTTACCCTCCTTCCCCCCATACACACACTGCCCCCCATACACACACTACACACACTGCCCCACAAACACTGCCTCCATACACACACTGCACACCCATAAACACACTGCCCCACAAACACTGCCCCCCATACACACACTGCCCCACAAACACTGCCCCCCATACACACACTGCACACCCATACACACACTGCCCCGCATACACACACTGCACACCCATACACACACTGCACACCCATACACACACTGCCCCCATACACACACTGCCCCACAAACACAGCCCCCCATACACACACTGCACACCCATACACACACTGCCCCACAAACACTGCCCCCATACACACTGACACACTGCCCCCATACACACACTGCACACCCATACACACACTGCCCCCAAACACTGCCCCCATACACAGCCTCAAGCACACACACTGCAACTCTCATACACACTGCACCGCTCACACACACACACACACACACTGCAGCTCTCTCACACACACACTGCCCCACACATACACTGCCGCCCTTACGCACTCACACACACACTTCACCGCACACACACTTTACCTCTAACACATACCACTGCTCCTATGTCCTATATCCCAGCAGACCCCAGGTAAGTTGTCAAATTGTTCATAAACTGTTTGACTACTTACTCTGGGATGGGATCCTGGCACCATAACTACTACACTGAGCTGTAGTGGTTATTGTGCCTGGATTATTTCTTTAAATAATCTACAAGTGCCCCTCCTGAGATCAGTCTCTGGATCCGCCACTGCTTCCCATAGGGATGTGGTGTACAAATAATAGAGAAGGGCAACTGCTTTTCACCTGTGCTCTTATCTGTGGGCATTGGGTGGGAGCTTTGAATAAAATAATGGGGTATTAATAAATAAGTAGCCCCCACCCACTGACATTAAACATGAAGTGGAAACCTAGTGTCCCCTTGAGCCCACTCATAGGTGGCAGGTGGGGCTTATTCATCTCATATTGATTGTTGGGGGCTACTTAATAATCAATGAGTGGGTGAAAATGCTACTGTCTACCCATGTACTTCGGGTGGGCGGTTATAATAACGGAGGGTGGACATGAATTGCTCACGTCATCAGGTTAGGGCTCGTAGGCGTGCGCAGCCTATTGCATTAGGGTGTGCACCCTAAAGCACAAACACACGCCGCGTGTATATGTATATATGTATGTACACACATACACTGCTATGTGTGTGTGTGTGCTGTTAGCGTGCTGTGTGAGGGTGGTGTGAGGGTGCTGTGTGAGGGGGCTGGTAGTGTGCTATGTGTGTGTGAGGTTGTTTGTGTGTGTGTGTGTGTGTTTGTTAGAGTCCTGTTAGTGTGCTGTGTGAGGGTGCTGTTTGTGTGATGTGTGTGTGTGAGGGTGCTGTTTGTGTGCTGAGTGTGGGTGTTGTGTGTTTGCTGCTGCCATCCCTGGTGGTCCAGTGGAGAGTGAACTCTAACCTGCGGGGCTAGAGTTCAGTCTCGTGAGAGGAATCCGGTGGAGCTGCTGGCTAGAGCTCCCCGGGTCCTCTCTTGCCTGCCTCCCTGCATGTGGGTCGGTGAGGGAGATCTTTGATTTCCCCACTGGCCCATGGAGGCTTATAGCAGAGACGGTGCTCGGATGAGCCGACAGGGTATATCCTGAGATCTCTCCTGCCGGTCCAGGGCACACCCGGCACACCCCATGCGCAAGCCTATGTTAGGGCCAATCTCCCACTTCCAGTGGATAGGGATCCCGAAGCCAATGGCCACCACCTCAATAAAACTTTGCTTTATCTACCCTTCTCACCCTAATAATAGTGAGGGGGCAATAAATCAAATATCTGTAAGAGAAAAAAAGTTATACTTACCTTCCAAAGTCTTCTTTCTTCTGAAGTTTTCTTTTGCTCAGCGCCATAAAGGAAAAAGAAATACATTATATCTCAATGCTACTACTGAAAATAGAAAAAAAAGACTAAATCACAAAAATTCAGAGAAAAACCCCCACAACGCAATAGCAATAGATCCATGTGGGCTGTGCGAGGATCTATAAGGCAGCAACTTATAGTTTGAAATTAGTAGAAGGCTCTGATTGGTTGGTTTGTATGTTAATAGTACTTCAAATTATCGTTCATCTGCAAAAATCAACTGATCGATAACCTGTTCATTATTAATCAGATCTGAAAATATATAAAACCCTATTGGTATATTTTTTTTCTTTGCCCAACACTCCATGGATACCTTGTTTATCATTGTAAATTAGCATAATGGATGTTTCTAGATACAGATACTGTATGCCAACCTTTCACAGTGCCTTCAAATTCTAAATATTAAGGGTCAAATGTCTCCGGACAGTTGCCTCCTCCTCCAATAAACTATGTATCCTCATGTGACTGGCATGTAGCCAGCGCTGAATTTACCGCAAGGGTGACAAGGCACGTGCTTTGGGCGGCACTTTCCAGGGGTGCAGCAAAAACGCCTGCCCCAAACGCGCCGGCAGCTAACAGGTGCCTTATTAGCCTTGCATCGAGGGCCCTCCCTCAGGCGGGCAGCTGTGCATATTGTGGATGGGCGGCAAGGGAGCCCTACCTCTGTGCTCTAATTGCTCTGCTCCCTTGTGCTGCGGTGATACGGTAGCCAGAATATGATGGCAATCTGGCACCGGCATCACTAAATGTCGAGCTAGGGAACAGAGCAAAAATATTAGAGCAACCCCACACTGGACTCCAGGGACATGATCCACACTGGACCCCAGGTAAGGAATCCACTCCAGCTCTCCCAAAGGTAGGCATGGTGGGTGGACTTAAATTAAAATAAAAAAAAAGTAAACGTATGAGAAAAACTGTGTGAGTTTGTCAGTATCCATGTGTGCATGTCTGTCAGTGAATGTGTGTCTGTCTGTAAATGGTGTGTTTCTGTCAGTAAATGTGCATGTCTGTCAGTGAATGTGTGTGTCTGTCAGTTAATGTATCTGTGAGTGAATGTTTGTGTGTGTGTGTGTGTGTGTGTGTGTCTGTGAGGGAATGTGTGTGTGTTTGTCAGAGTGAGTCAAATCAGTAAATTTGTGTAACTGTCAGTGAATATGTGTGTGTCTGTCAGTGGTGTGTGTATGTCAGTGTATGTGTATCTGAGAGTGTGTGCCTGTCGGTGAGTGCATGTCAGTGTATGTGTATCTGAGAGTGTGTGCCTTTCAGTGAGTGGGTATGTCAGTGTGTGTCTGTCAGTGTAAGTGTGTGTTGGTTAAACAGTGTGTGCCAATGACTGTGTGTCTGTCAGTGAGTGTGTCAGTGAGGGTGTATGTCTGTTGGTCTTAAATGGGAAGAAGTTTGGCTTTGGCAATAAGGAGTGGAGCAAATTTACATTAGGGATGCCCGTGTTTAGTCATGCCTGGGGCAGGACAAAACCAAAATACACCACTGCATGTAGTTACAGATAAGTTACACATGTACCCTCTCGGTGTCCATACACAACATATAATACAATTTATATACATTTACTGAAACAGTTGGAATTGTTCCCTATGCATTCTAAGTTCATAATTATAATTTTTGTCTACATTTCAGATTTGCTAGAAGTCTCTAATTTGGGGAGTCCTGATCATAAATCAGCTAGAATAGAAGACTCAACTACAAGGAATCTCAAACAGAAACCTACAAGGAAATTACAGAACAAGATGAAATTTCTCCTTCACCAGGTATGTCTAACAGCTAATGGAAATTAAAGATATATTTTCCTTGCTAAAAGCTAATCCGTACATGGATCCCATACTTCACCTGGTAAGGCAGATGGCACCTGTACCTAACGGTTGAGGACTGTGAGAATACAAAATAGGTACTGGTATTTCTTGTGCAGAGGTAAATTGCCAGGAATTTAATATCTGATCAAGTGCAGTCATAATGGTACAAACAACAATAAGAGGTATGGCTACTTGGCACTTGAGTCAGGAATTTATGAGATAAAGCATTTCTGAGGGGGTACATCTAAAAAGGGAGTGGACTGGTGGCCAAGACATTTTACCCTTATAGCTGGTAAATTGCATCCATTATAAGTTTAGGAATCTCTTATGCATTTTAAAATAAATTCAAAAAGAGTCGAAAATAAATAACAATATTCTTGACAAATCAATGTTATATTTACCTGAACAAGCTATAGAGAACTTACCTATAATTTCATGTTAATGATATAACTATTTTTCAGTTCAAATCTTGGTATTGCATTCCAATTTAAACCCTTAAGGACAAAAGCATTGTACAAGTTCTGAACAAAATAAAACCAACAATTTGAGCTATATGTCTCTTCAAGTCTCTTGAGTCTTTTTGGAATCCGTTCTTATAGCACAAACAACACTTTCTCTGGGGTGACTTTTACAGTTTGTGGAGGGGAATCAGGAAGTAAAGTGCTTGCCACAAAGTCTTTGGACATCCTCTGATTCCAAAGAGGGAGGATTGGGGGACTGTGTAAATAAAATATCGGACAAAAGTTTCAACATAAAATCAAGTAATGACTTACCTATTTCTGCTTTTATATACAGCAAATAGGAATTGAAAGAGTTCTGGAAGAATGCAAGCATGTCTCCTATAACCGTCAGGACACTAGTATACAGATTTGTGCCCAGGACACTTGTACTTGGAGAGGTATAACTAAATCTATATTTTTAGCACAAGTGCGAAAATGTTTTTTTTTAGAAAGGAGAGTTTAAAAAAAAAAGAAAAAGTACTTGAATGTATCTTTTTATTTCTACTTTATGCATGTTAATACATATTTTATTTACATTTTATGAATTTCCACATTTCTATCGATGCAGCGCCTACCAGTGTGGGAGTTGCTTAAATTGAAGTAAAAAGGGTAAATGTGCATAACAAATAAAAACAATAGGTGCATGTGGCTATGCCGGAGAACCAAGTGTCGTGGATAAAACCCACCACCGCCCACCATGAATGTTTGGATCGCCCATTAGTGGGTGGTAGAATCCTTATGCTTACGCAGCCTAATTTTAAAAGCCCCTTCCCGCACAATAACATAAAATAACATAGAATAAAATAATAAACACATAATGAATTGAAAAGCAAACAGTACCACCACTCCCCCCCCCAAAAAAAATAAAGGAAATACCTTAACATTAAGTTCTCTGTACTAACTAGTCCAAAAGTAGTATACAGAATGAATTGAATAGTGTAATGTGATAGAATAGCCAGAAGATGGCAATGTAGCTCCTTACCAGAGAGACACAGTCAGCAATTGGTCCAGGAAATGAAAACTGTGTGCAAAACAGGTTCAAATTTTATAAAGAAATATTTATTGACATTATTATTATTTTATTATTTATATATCGCCATCAGATTCTGTAGCGCTGTACAATGGGACATTAAAGGACCACTATAGTGCCAGGAAAACATACTCGTTTTCCTGGCACTATAGTGCCCTGAGGGTGCCCCCACCCTCAGGGACCCCCTCCCGCCCGGCTCTGGAAAAGCGGGAAAAGGGGTTAAAACTTACCTTTTTCCAGCTTCGGGCGGGAGTCGCCTCCTCTCCTCCTCCCATTCTTCCTCCTGGCTGAATATGCGACGCTAAAAGTATTTTCGCGCTTTATTCAGCTCGTATAGGGAAAGCAATTTTGCACAAGCTTTCTTTATGGACGCTGTACGCCTTCACCGGGAAACGCGCGAGAAGCATCGCAAAGCGCCTCTAGTGGCTGGCCAATGAGACAGCCACTAGAAGGTCAGGGAAGCGTTTAACTCATTATTAAACATAGCAGTTTCCTGAAACTGCTATGTTTATTAAAAAAATGGTTAACCCTAGAGGATTTGGCAGACCTGCACTTCACTTCATTGCTTTGAAGTGGTCTGGGTGCCTAGAGTGGTCCTTTAATTTTATATCAACTTTGACTTCTGAGAAAAATCCTTAGACACAAGATACTCAGTATCTATTTATTTATATTTATTTCACGCACTACGGTCATCTGGACATATTGCGTTTTGAATTTAAAGTCTTCAACACTGTCCCTGAGTATGCTTCACAATGACAATCAGTGATAATTTGTAAATGAAGCTGGTATCAATGTAAGACTAGATTAATTTACACATTGGCAGTTTTATGTATTTTTGTCAAATAACTTGGCATCATTACAGCCAGGAGGGAAATAAGCAATGATCTCTCATACCGAGAAGCACAAACAGTGAGACTACATAATTTTATGGATGCTAGACAGGTGATAGAATAGAAACTTGTTTTCTATCTGAAGAATGGTTTGATCCTTACATATCATAGTATTGTTTTATGACAGTGCTGTCTACACAAGCATACAGTAGTCTAACTTTGTGTATTTGTATTTATTTAGGATGTCATCAAGCCATGAAGAAAACATTTTCTGAACAAGAAGTTTTTATAGATTCTGTTCGTCATCATGATTGCTTGCAACCAGAAACCAAACTGCATATATCCGGCCTCAACAATGATTACTGTAAGTAATATATTTTTAAATGGGATGCACAGGAAGGTCTGTGATTCATGAGCCCAAGAGACTAAGCAAAAAGCAATGCAATCTTCGGGGGTTTACTAATAGTGCCAATACATTTTCATGCGATTGATAGCGTTCAGGCATTTGGCGGTTCTGGAGTTATTTTGGGAGTTTTAGGAGTAAATTTAGGGAAATAGAACATTTTTCAATGCCATGTTGTGAGATCAATGTACGGAATTTGAAACAAATGGTTTTACTTCGTTCACTTCAGGCTATTCGGTATTTAGTGATTTAGGGATTAGGGACAATTGACTAGTGTCCAATAGATCATTATAAATTTAAAAAAAACAAACACAAAATAGTGAAGAATGGTTAGAGTAACCCTTTAATTTGTATATAAGTTACATCTACATTCTTTTGTTCATAGATCTGAATTTATTAGATTGGAATGTTGACAACCTTGTTGCTATTGGGTTGAGATCAACTGCACATATCTGGAGTGGTGAAAGCAACACAGTAACACAAACACTGAATTTACATACTCCCTCAACATATATTTCATCAATATCATGGATACCGGCTGGGTCCAGTCTGGCTATCGGTACAAGCAATGGAGAAGTACAGGTAATTTGTAAATCACTTTATGTTGTTAATGAGGTTTTTGGTGAATAATTTTAAAGCTTTCCTTAAGCAAGGAGAGGGCTGGCAACTTTTGACAAGAGGGCCTAGAACAAATGGATGGCCGTCTCTTTTTTTTGTGCAGAAAAATTAAGGATTTCAATGCGACGGGTCTTACTCACAGCAATTCATATAGCTTTGAGAAATGAAGGCTGCTGTAATTTTAAGATATGCCTAGGGCTGGACTGGGAAAAAGATTTGGCCCGGGCCTTTTTTAATCACAGCGGCCCACTGAAAAGAGGGCAGGACCAGATAGGGTGTGTTTTGTCATCCCCAATGACAAGCACGCCCCATCACAAAGTTCAATGCTCTTCCACGGCAGACAATGCGCCGAGCTCTGAAGATGAGCTCTAGCACGAGAAAAGGGCCTGTATTTGTTCTGCACAGCGCAAGCAAATGTTATAACATGCTTGCACTGTGTTTGCTTGGAACTTGTCTCTGGTGTCTCCATAAAAAAAAGAGTACTGTGCATGAGTTTGGAGCCTGCTTATGGGATTGCGTGTGTAGAGTGAGCTGACTGTGGTGTGGTTTTGTGTTAATAGGTTGGTTTCAGTCATGTTGTGTTTGTGGTGTAATGTAATGTATGTGTGTCTAGGTGCTGTAGAGAGTGTGTGTATAGAGGGCATAGTGTGTATGGGGGATGTAGCGAGTGTGTGTATACGGGCTGTAGTATGTGTGTGTACAAATTATGTAGTGTGTGTAGGGGTTGTAGAGAGTGTGTGTTTAGGGAATGTAGTATGTATTTGCTTACAATCTAGTGTGTGCATAGGGGATCCATAGTGTGTATGTCAGAAATGTAGTGTGTGTGTAGGTGGTGCATTGTGTCTGTAGGGGATCTAGTGTGTGTTTGAAGGACCCAGAGTGTGTATAGGAGATCTAGTGAGTGTGTGTGTAGAGGATTCAGAGTGTATATAGGGATCTAGTGTGTGTAATGCTGCTGTGTGTATGTGTGAGGGGTGTAGTGTGTTTGTGAGGAGTATAGTGTGTAAGGGGTGCTGTGTGTGAGGATGCTGTGTGTGTGTGCTGTGTGTGTGTGGGTGCAGTATGTGAGAGGATGGTGTTATATCCCCCCTCCCTTCTTACCTTTAGCCTGGGAGGGGGGACCGTGATGCAATCCCTGGTGTTCCTAGTGGTAAGTGAACTCTAACCTGCGGGGCTGGGGTTCACTCTCGCGAGACTCAGAGTGTTGCCATGGCAACGCTCCAGATCTTGCAAGAGGAAACCGGCGGAGAGCTCCTCTGGGTCCTCTCCTGTCTCCCTCCCCAGCCGGCAGCCGCATGTAACTGCCTGTGGGCCGGTGAGGGAGATCTTTGCAAGTGCTTAGCGAATATGGAAGTTGTAGCTTACAGTGATATGGTGTGTGACTGGAAAGAATGAAGAGATAACAGGTGAGGGTAATTGGTGCTTTGTAGGTTGATTTACATTTTGCAGACCTCTAGCAGCATAATGTTTTTTGTATTTTCCATGCCATTCATTTCAAACTCCAGCAAGTGTGTGAGCAAAGTACTTATACCCGGAGAAGTAGGTAGTCCTAGATTGTAAACTGGTTTGTTGAACAGGGCTTTCTTTACCTCTAGTCTCTATGTCAATATTATTTTGTATGTCAATACATGTCAAATATTCTCATTCTATAATTGTAAAGCACTATGTAAAGGATGATAATACGATTAACAATAATACCTCCCCTGCTCTATCTATGTTTATACCCCAGTACTGTGCTGCTTTACAGCTAGCAGCTCTATACTGAAATGCTGATTGGTCATTCTTATCTCAATAAATCATATGTTTACTTTATAGCTATGGGACATTGAAACCCAAAAGAGGCTGCGGAATATGCATGGTCATATGTCAGTAGTTGGAGCTTTAACCTGGAATCAGCACATTCTCAGCAGGTAGGAGGACTAAAATTGTGTACTTGTTTTAAAATGGCAATCTGACATTTATCCTGGATTGAACAATATGAATTTTCCATTGTATTTCCATTTCTAGTTCGGTTTATAATAAAACAAATGCCTTGTAAAAAATATGCAAATATATATGTGGTCTGTATATATATTTTTTTAATTGTTTCTTTTTGTTGTTCAATAAAATTACAGTCAGACCGGACATGCCACAAAAGCAATCTCAGGCAACACAAAGCTTACATATCATGACATGGAGTACGGTCACACAAGTTTTTATGATTAGTAAACATGTTCTTGCAAGATATGTCAGAAATTAGGTGAATATGAGTAGCAGTTAAATCCGCAGATGTAAACTGATAAGTTAGTCAAGATAAGATAAAACAACATTAATAGCATGCTTGAAAGTACTAACAGGCTTAAAGAGAGATAAAACGTGCTGAACTAAGTAACAACCTAAAGTAGTTTTAGTGCCACTGGGTACTGAGAACAGTATGAGGAGTGAGTAAAGGAAAGGACAGGAATCCCTGCTTAGGAAAGAGAGGCAGATGGTTTATGTTAAGCAGAGTCTGCACTTTCATTGCCTCATGGATTACCCAATGCCACAGGCAGGCAGCAATGTATACCCCAGCTCGACACCGGGCAGGATATCATCCTTCTCCGCCACACTATCCTGTGGATAATAACCAATCACAGAGATAAGGCTCTGGAGTCCCCCTGCTACACCTGGCATGCCATGCTGAGCAAAGTACTCTGTACGGCATGGGCTGAGCTTGTAAGGCCGCCGTATGAGGATTCTCCGGCGGGGTGTAGTGAAAGGCTTGCTGTGGGTCTGTGTGTGTAGGTGACCCTGTTCTCCTCTCTCCACTCGGCTGCTGTGATCGCGTGCTGAGTGCAGGAGTTGCTTGTGCCCCCGTCTTGCGTGTATCTTGGCCTGGGAGCCTCTCTGGGTGTTTGGATAATGGTCTGGGCAGGACAGTTGTTGGGCCATCTGTCCGGAGGAAGATGGAGGAATTACAGGAAAGGCAGGGTGGTTTGCACTCGAGTCCAGAAAGCTTGGCAAATTCGATGAAATTTGGCTTCAAAGATTTTCTGCCGAGTAGGGCCCTGTGTGCTAGTGTAGGTGTGCTGAGACTCCAGTGCGGCAGCCATCGCAAGTGCACCAGGTGGACTCCAGTTCAGCTGGGTAGTGTTTCACCCCTATCGAGGTACAAGAGCGTCCAGTGGGGACCGGGATATCCCCCATCAGTCCGCGTGGGGGTAACTTGAGTCCAGAGCTTGGAGACCATCTGCCTCCCACAACTACGGGACCGCCAGCCTCGGTAGGCCTCAAAATCAGGCCCAGTACTCTTCCGCCAGGACCCCCGGATCAGACGTAATATGTTGCAGGTTATGGTGAGGGAGGTCCCCGGTCAATGTAGGGTCGTTTGCTGCAGGACTAAGTGGGTTATTTGCTTGTTTTCAGCGTTTTCTAGCCGGAGCTAGTGCATTACATGTCCGACCATCTTGGGTACCAGGCCCCACCCCTATGTGGTTTGTATTTTGCACATTTCATAAATAACATCTTTTGAAATTATTTAAACTGACAATAAAGCAATTTCCATTGTGTTAAGGAACAGCACACACAGAAAAATAAAATTTTAAAGAAACACTCCAGGCACCATGACAACTTCATTGACATGAAGTTGTTAGGGTGTCAGAAGGTCCCTGGCTCTGGCTTACCTTAAGGCAGTGCTCCTCAACACTCTCCTCAAGGTACACCAAACAGTCCAGGATTTAGGGATTACCTCGGTGTGTCTAAGGTGTTTTTTAAAAAACAAAAACACCTTAGACTCTAAAGTGTTCCCCCCTCCCCTTTTTCTAAACACTTTAGACACACCAGGGTAATCCCTAAATCCTGGACTGTTAGGTGTGCCTTGAGGAGGGGACTGAGAAGTGCCTTAAAGGGCTAAACTATTCTCGAATGATTTAACCTCACAGTCTTTGTTCCAGTGCCAAATCTTCCTGCCTCCCTTAAAGTTTATTCTCAAACTAGTTTTGAATTGGGATTCACTGAGTGGTTGAGAACGTCAGTTTCCCGATTCTGCAAGAGCCTTCTGATTTTTAGAAAATGGAAGGGCAGATTTGGCACTGGAAAATAGATTATGTGGTGAAACCGTTAAAGAATGGTTTAACCCATTAAAGTGAACCAGCACCAGGGACCTCCTAGCACCATAACAACTTAATTTCAAAACAGTTGTTATGGTGCCTAAACTATTGCTTTACAGTTTACAAGGCTACTTAAAATAAGCAATTTCAACAAACAAATACAGGGACTCAGTGACACCATATGGCCATATCGCGTTAAACCCACAGTACACCAATATTAGTGGGTCCTACACTAATTTAACATGTGAGACAAATTATGGCCATATGGTGTAACTGAATCCCCATATTTGTTTGCTGAGATAGGTGATTTTAAATAGCTGTGAGCATTTTAAATCTGCGTTTTATGTGTGCAATGCTCCTTAAATTATAGTCTCCACTAGTGCTGAGTAATGCATGTTCCGGGTGTGCTCCCAATTCTCTGACTTTCAGTGACTGAAAAAATGTCAGTAAGACAGGTAACGTTATTATTCATAAAGATCCAACATTTTCTGCAGCACTGTACACTTGGCCACAAGCTTGCCTTACAGGAACAAGAGGTAATAAAAGCTCTGATCAAATTGGCATACCATCCCAAAAAAACACAAGGTGCAATCGCACACTACATAAGGTTTTGTTTAAAGTACAAATGAGTTGCAAGTATATTTACGGCAATCTGCGAGCAGTACTTGACTACAATAGGGGTAAATAAACATGAATGGGAGACTGATGCAGGAAGAAAAGTTAATTTGCTGGAAAAGAGAATTCCATAAGAATTATACAGTCCTAGAGAAGTCTTGAAAACACGAATTTGCAGCAAGGGCCAGGAAAACCAAAAGATTTGTTCAGGTCAGCCAGTGATGCATTACAGAGCAATAACAGCCCACATTGCAGCCTTGAAGGACACATGTACAGTTTAACAAGGATATTCATATGAAGTGGTGTAAAATGATTGTGTGTTGTATTAGCAAACTGTAAATGCTTTATTAATAAATAATAATTACAGTAGTTTACCACACTGCTTGTTTTTTGTTTGTTTTAATAATGTAGTGGTTCACGGCTTGGACATATACACCATCACGATGTTCGAATGGCAGAGCACCATGTTGGAACGCTGTATCACAAACAAAGCATTTGCAGTCTGAAATGGTCACCATCTGAAAAACATTTAGCTAGTGGTTCAAGTGACGGCCATCTAAATATCTGGTTGTATGATCCAGGAACTTCCAAAAGTAATACTCCGTTACAGAGCATGCAGCATTCTACGGCAGTGAAGGTATTATATTCTGTATTGACATTATTTTATTGTCTGTTACTCATGTTTTAATTAGAAAATGTTTTATTATTAATTATAAGGTTCTATTGCCTTTTCAGTGCTGAGCATTTTTGTCTAGGAATGATGGGATTAAAAACCGTAGTTTAGATGCTTGTTAGGACTTTATACCAAAATGATCTTGTCCTCCAGGGAGATAGGACCACCTGGAGGCTAGCAGTACCACCACATATGTAATAGGTTGTTTTAATAGTAGTTAGTAAATGCATTTTTACTGCAAAATAATTTCATGTTCTCTATATAAAATTAATTTCCTCCTGATTATATGTATTTGATAATATTGTTATTCGAACCATTAGTATTAGCAGAGGTTCAATCTTTACTTCAACATTATCTTGTTGATCTTTAGGCAATGAACTGGTGTCCGTGGCTATCAGAAACGCTCGGTGTGGGAGGAGGAATGACAGATGGACACATCCGAATTTGGGATACAAACACTGGGAAAAACATCCATTCAGCAAACACACATTCTCAGGTGAATTGCATGATCTTTAGGAAGAATTCATGCATAAAATAATGATAGAACATAAATATAGAAGTGACATGAAATTGCAAGTATTTTACTTTTAGAATTCTAACACAAGGGACATTGTTCTTGATTGTACAGTAGTACAGTATATTATCTGCAAGACGCATTCAAACATTATTGACTGGTTTTGTCTGATATTTTTATTGAATTTCGATTGGATTTGATGCCAGCCAAAATTTTAGCAGCTGAACTTGATAAATGGGTCAGCTATCTGAGCAAAATCCTGTGCTAAATGTGCTTTAGAAAAACAATTGTTGGCCTTTTTTAATGGCTAACCCCTTTAGTCATTAAAATAAATAAAAGCTGATTAATACAAGGGATGTTATACACCTTCCCCATGCCATCACACACCATGCTGCGAATAAGGGTGTGTCCGCTAAACAGCAAGCAGCCACTGGCTACTCATTGTAATAAAAGAATAGCAACTGGTCAGTTATTGCTGAAAATTCCCATTCAAGTCTGGAGCGAAATTAGACTTACCTGTCAGAGAGCTCTGATGAATTGGCCAAATTAGCTAGAAAGAATATTCAATAAATTACTTTTTATAGGATGGCACTGATGATTGCAGGTTGAAGTAGGGAAGACAGATATTGAAGATATGTGTTAGGGATAAGACCACACTTAGAGAGAGAAATGACAAGCATAGTAAAAACAAGTTTTACATAACAGTAACATTGCATTAATATAAGCTGCAATTTTTTAATAATATATTATGCTAGTATGCTAATGAAAGTGGGAAAATCTGTGAGACATTGTAAGTTATAGATCACAATAGTTTTGAAATGATCTGTCAGAGGATATAGCATAAGCTCAGTTAGCCTAGATATTAACCACTGAAACTAGCACCTCTTCGAAGCTGCACTGGGCAAAATGGTAGCTTTAAGGGTGAGTAAGATTAAGATAATAATAATCAAACATCTATAATGTATAGCACTTGACAAATCAAACGACAATTCGTAGTACTGTTAGAAAGGGGATTATGTCCTAGTGCCTGGATCAGCCGATCCCTCTGAGCGGCAAGACAGGAGTGAGTCCAAAAGAGTTCATGTGGGCAACCGCTGCACCTTGTGGGGTCAGATCTCCCATCCAGCCCCGAGCCTTCCTGAAGGCCAGCATCCACGGTCCAGACTTGGTGTATCCTTCAGCCAGAAGGCTTGGAAAATCTTGTCTAGACGGGTATCTATTGAGTCACAGTACAGCTGCCGGGGTGGGCTCATGCCCTGCATGTCACCAGGAGACGTGTCCGCTATTGTGAAGGGTCGGAGAATACTTGATGCGGTAGCTGAAATGCACCAGTCGGACAGTAAGTGCAGCAATTGTGCCTTGAGGCTGTTCAGTGGGGATCAGGATAACCTCCACCGGTCCGTAGGGTATGGTAGGAGCACTGTGGGACTGAGTGTGGAGAAGATAGCGAGGAGATCGGCCGCCTCTCCTCTGCCCTGTCTCCAGTAGGCCTCAACTAGATTTCTCAGGTTCCCGGCAGAATTAAAGGAACACTATAGTCACCTAAGTTTAGCTAAATAAAGCAGTTTTAGTGTATAGATCATTCCCCTGCAGTTTCACTGCACAATTCACTGTCATTTAGGAGTTAAATAATTTTGTTTCTGTTTATGCAGCCCTAGCCACACCTCCCCTGGCTATGATTGACAGAGCCTGCATGAAAAAAAAACTGGTTTCACTTTCAAACAGATGTAATTTACCTTAAATAATTGTATCTCAATCTCTAAATTGAACTTTAATCACATACAGGAGGCTCTTGCAGGGTCTAGCAAGCTATTAACATAGCAGGGGATAAGAAAATCTTAATTAAACAGAACTTGCAATAAAGAAAACCTAAATAGGGCTCTGTTTACAGGAAGTGTTTATGGAAGGCTGTGCAAGTCACATGCAGGGAGGTGTTACTAGGGTTCATAAACAAAGGGATTTAACTCCTAAATGGCAGAGGATTGAGCAGTAAGACTGCAGGGGCATGTTCTATACACCAAAACTGCTTCATTAAGCTAAAGTTTTTCAGGTGACTATAGTGTTCCTTTAAGTCTCAAAACATCTGCCCTGGATTTCCCAATGTAAGCCGTGCAGTTTGCAGATAAATCAGCGTTTTTGCCAGGGTAGGCACCCAAAATGTGGGCAGTGAAGCAGGAGCACGCTTTAAACACGACTGTCCTGCTCGATAGCCAAGCTCTGCCCCCCCCCCCTCATGGCAGATATATTATTAATATATTTTGTTCAATCTTGTTATTATAATCAAATAAAAAATATCTGTCTGGGAGATCAGTAATGGGAGTCTTTGAAGTAGAGTGGAGTAGGAAATTAAAGGTGTTAAAAGCTTGTTTGGGTTCACAAGAATAGGTACTAATGAGTAAGTTAAAATACTCAGGTTTGGCACAGAGTAGGAAGAGCTATAGGAACATAAAATTAATTTGTAGTTGAGAAAGTCTGGTTTGGTCAAAGTCTTACTGCAACACTGTTTTGCAGTGTGGGAGCATTTTTGGAGATAATGGGTAAATATACTGTGTTAGGGTCGAATGCATGACTGCTGTTAAAAGCAGGTTTAAATGACGCTGTCTTATCCAGAGCAGAAGAGAGGATGCAATTTTAGAATGAGATTGAGAGAGACTGGGAAAAGTTGAGAGAACTGAAAGTGGAGGTTAGAGAACAGAGTAGAACCGACACAGATCAAGAGTGCTTAGGTTTCTAGTAGGCTAAGATAAGTTAGATTTATTTATGACAGCACAAGCTAGGAGATGACAATCAGATAGAAAATGAACAAATTTTGGAAAAGACGAGGTCGTGGATATTGCCAGCATTGAGGGTAGTTTAGTGAGTATGGCCAAAATGAAGGTGACTGATAAAAATATCTAAATATTAGGTTGGTTAATTGGAATGCTGAAGTCTCCAGGAATGAGTGATGGAATGTCAGAAGAGAGAAGATAGGTAAACTTAGTAGAGAAATTATCAAGGAATAGTAGAAGAGAGCCAGGAGATAGCAGATGATGAAGATAAGATATGCAGGCAAAGAGAGAATAGAAAGGGCAAATATGCTGAAAGGGGGAGACAGGGGGCAAGGATCTCATAGCACCACTCTTTAAATTACACAGTTTGGGAGAGTTTGTTATTTATGCATAACTTAATGTGATGCTTATTTTCTTAAGACTTCCCCCATTTTTATTTTTAAATATATAGATCTGCTCTGTTATCTGGCTGCCTGAATCAAGAGAATTGGTCACTGGCCATGGACCACACAAAAATCAAATGTCTGTCTGGAAATACCCCTCTTTATTGAAAGTAACTGATCTATATGGTAAGTTAAATTATTTAGTATGGAGGTAGATAGTTCTGGTATACCTAATGTAACACACAGAAGAGAGGGAGTCTGACTAACATTATGTCGCTCAAACTGGAAGCAATAGGGATTCACTAAAACCTATAGAAAAAATGGGCAAAGGGAACACTCTAGAGTGTTCCCTTTGCCTAAATTATTTAGTATATTTATTCAATCAGCATATTAAACACATATGGCTTCCACAATTTCTATCCATACCTCTTTAATTGTTCCAACATTGGCCTCAATTTAATTCTTATGGATGAGCTTTTAAGTTGACAGCAATCTGTTAGAAAAACATTTAAAATGATTTATCTACAGAAGTCGATAGAGAAGAGACTGAAATGGGTTAACTAAAAAAGTGCTCCCAAGTGCAGTCTCTATACCCTGAATGTGACTGCTCCACTAGTATAAAGCAATGAATTGCTAATCCTAGAGCCTCAATAGAACAAAAAAATAATACATTTTATTAAACCCTCTTAGGGAGAAAAGAACTATCACCAAAATAAAGAATGTATATACAGTGATATTTACAAAAATATTAAAATAAAAAGGGTACATCCGCTGATCTGCAATATATATAGTAGTCACACAATGTATATAGTTGCCACTATTAGGGTAAAAAAGACTATTGTTAACAGTTTCTTTATAACAAAGTCTCTTTTGCCAGCAACATTTAGTAAGAATTGTCAACTATAGGAAATACAGTGTAACCTGTTAGGATAATATATATCAATGAGCCCTTTGATGGAACAACGTGCATGTAGATGCACACATAAATGTTGCTTAATAAGAGTAACCCCGGCGGATAAATTTTACATGACTTCCTATGGTTGTGGGAGCTCCAAGATCAATCTTGCACAAAGGGTTTAAAGGAGCCTTTGGGGAGGAGAACGGCAGTGTTAAACCGAACTAATAGTACAAGTCAGGATACTAGCCGTCAATAAAGTAATAGATCCCGAGTACAACGCTCCGTTGATACCCCAATGTTAAACCTAAACTTTACTGTAATGGAAACGGGCGGTATGGTAGGTTCGGCCGGACACACATAAAGAAGAACGTGAGTCTCTTACACCATACACTGCCTAAAATATCCCCATAAGGAACATCAAATTAAATAGAAACTAGTAATATGAAAGAGATGTCAAGTGCTCAAATAGGGGAGAAAGTGCTCAGTAGGTCAGTGTACTGTATATGGGTACACTATACATTTCTCGCCAGCCTTAAACTGATAACAGATTTTCCCAGTGTACCGATAACCGGCTAACTAAGAATACGGTCCCTTAAATGAACTAGTTCCTAAATAAAAATAAAAGTAAGGAGGTCCCCAAACCCAATTCAAAATAATAGTAAAAGCGGATGTCCTAAATAAAGTACATAGTGTACAAGGTTATGCTCAACGCGCGTTTTGGCGCCAACATGCACCTTTGTCAAGAGCTAACCGATTGTGAGGATAGCGCCACTTTTTGAACCCTCTAGTGCCGGCCCATTTTTCGTGACTGTTAGTGGGCAGGGCTAAGGGAGTGACGATAACCTAATCTCAGCATAGGGGGAGTTTAACCCCTACAATGCCAGAGAGTGGTATAACTATCAAAGATCCCTGGTGACATCAGGGAATCAGTAGTAGATGTATGTAGTTCATATAATGAAAACAGATTAAACTGATCCATAAATAGTAAGGGTATAAGTGTATAATAAGTATAAGTGCTTAGCTCCCATAACAAGCATAAATACTCCTCAATATATATTTTTTAATATTCTGATATTATTGATAAATTGATGTCATGTTTTTATATATGATATATTTTGCATATTTTAATAAACAACCCTTGTAAAAGTTTACCCAAAAACATTAAATCATTTCAAAAAGCTTATCCAACAACATTAAATTGAGGCCTAAAACAGGAAAAAAAAGATAGATAGGTTGAAATAGATAGATATAATATATAATTCTTTATTTTCAGGTCATAGAGGAAGAGTACTACACCTCGCATTAAGCCCAGACCAGAAGAGAATATTTTCTGTTGCAGCTAATGGGACATCTTATATATGGAGATACAATCAGTGAAGGAATCTATAAGAGACTCCATGCATCATGCAAGTCTGCATATCTCATTAGCCATATGTACATGTCAAGTGGCCCATATACAGGGCATGGAGTCCCCAGCAATTAATCTGAACTTGATATTATTTTGCTTTTTCTGTAAGCAAGATATAACCTGGTGCTTTGGGTGGTTACATCTACTCCAGAACTGCCATGCAGTTCCTCTTCATAAATGTACAACCGTCCCCATTTCTCATTTTGGGGGCCCTCCAGTTAGTTTTGGGATTTACTGAGCTCGCCGGCATTATCTCATGCAAACTACGTGCTTAGACTAAATACAGCCCTACTGTAAAGCTGGTAGCTGTTATCTAAATACGGTTAGAAACACTTTCCAAATGATTTATCTACAAAAACTCCAGTAGACCTTAATGGTGACTTCTGTGGATAAAGAATTTTCCCAACAGAATTGAATCATTTTGAAAGCTTATCAAATCAAAGCTTTAACGTTCGATCGATCTATGAATACGTGCACTAAGCAAGTCTACAGCAATGAATGACTGAACACTGTGCAACAAGAGGCCTACATCAATCCTACCCATTTGAAAAACAAAAAAACAACACCCCTACCATAAAGCTGGAGCCATTTTCCACCCACTTGTAGTTTTAACCAGATAGTAATTTCTGTTGTAGAATTATCTTAAATAATACAAAGATTCCTGCTTGACGAAATCTCTCACCACCTGGCAAATGAAATAACAGAATTCTTCTAGTCTTTTTCACAAGCACTTTTAACAATAGATGTGTAAACAGGCGAGGTTGCTCAGAATCCTCCTCTGTATTCTAACACTTTGTACAGAGGATATTTCATGACATGAATTGCTCAATGACAACCGACAAATGCAGCAGGTGTAAAAACTGACACTTAGACCAAGATGTAAGGTGTTGCTAAATAGACCGGAGCAACACACGAACAACAGTTTTGATTGCAACTGATATAATATGTATCTCAGTACACAAATGTTTTTAATTCTAAATTTGTAGGTTTGATATAGTTTTATCTATTAATGAAAATAACAAATTGCACTTGAATTAAATAGAAAAAAAATGTAAGTTCAAGCTACAAAATTAAAGTAAGAAAACTGAAGAAGTAAAATAATAAAACTCAAGTAAAAATAGGAAGGGCTATAATACATGATGTAAAGTTTGCAGTAATAAACAGGAAACACAAGCATATACATTTTCTGTGAGCCCTGCAAACCACAACACCTTGTGAATGCAAGCAGTAGGTGGGATTCTAAAGTTCTGATCTGAGAACCAGCTGTATATATCCTTGTGTCGAGCAATCCAACCAATCTACAAGGAATGCATGTCTATGAAGCACATAGCTCCATGTCAGGTACTGTGACTTTTCACTACCATGCCTCGTGTAGTAGGTCACTTGTTACCATATACCACAGCAGGCAAATCTGTTTCCCCACCATTATATATCACAAAAAAGCTCCATCTGCACCACTAGCTTGTATAAGTAATTTGATTATAAAAGAATTCTAACTATTATTTGGTACAGAGCGGCTGCCCCTTGTAGCTATGTGTGTCATAAAAACATGTGGCAAATAACTAAATGAAGGGAGTTCTTAAAATAACATCTAAAATGTAACTGTTTTTTATTTTTACAAAACTACAGATCACGGTAAACTTTGTGGCATATGAATGTAGATTTAAAGTAAGATTAATATATTTTTTATTTGTATTTTATTGTGATATTCCATATTAGTTTATGAGTTGCTTATATACTTTTTATTTATTACATTAATTTAATTTATTTAGTTTAGTGCAGACCCATAATATTGAATTACTCCAGTTATGCACTAGTTAGTTAATTTATTCTAAGTCTATTTATTGCATATTGAAGTATTTAAATGCATATACATGTGTTTACATATAATTTATAGTAATATTTATTTATGCTCTTTTTGTTATCCACGTTTCATCACATATTATTACTATTTCACAATTAAGATATTGTTATGATGGAAAGTTTGCAAGAACTATTAAATGCAGTCATTGTTACTGTGATATTTTCAAATTATATTTCCTTTTTAAAGGCTAACGTAGCACTGTTGTAAACTATAAATAAATAAAGAGATAAAAATAAATAAAAGAGAAATTGAAAAACAAAACACAACACAAAAGCATACAAATGTTATAATAAAACTGCTACAAATATTAAAGTGATTTTATGAACAACAATAATAATTTCAAGACTTAAAATTATATACCCCCTTCCCTCTTGCTCTGTAAAATTGAAGATTAATCTATTTAATCTTCAATAGAACTGAGTTTTACTCAGTTATAGAGGTGGAAGCATTTTTATCGACTGTTAGCCACCTGAGGCATGCTTATCTCTTCAATGTAGACTCGTATTCTACTGTTATGGTTTCATTTGCTATGCTACAGGCTCTCTGCATCAGTACTTTGGTTAAGTTTTGCACCTTGCACATACGTTATACGTTGACACAGAGAATAGAAATCCCTCATTCCGTTAAAAGAAAAACGACTTTTAAACAAACTCCACATATTTCGTTTTTAACCCTTTCACCCATGCCAGACGCCCCATGGTCCTTTCACAGATATAACCCAGCCCGTATTAGCGGTGCCAATAACGTAAAGTAACATCCAGCTCACATACTACATGCATACGTTTATATCTGGCATTTCTTTAAACGTGTCTGTTTAACTTTTCTTCTTAAAACGGGATGTGAATGGTTACATCAGTAACACTAGTAAGAGGCTAGATCTGGAGTTGTGATAAACTTCATACAACAACATGTAAATAAATTAGTACTACTAACTGAACATACAAAACAACGCAATAACACTATTTGGTGGGAGGTTAAGCAACAAATATTTATTTATGTGGAAGAAAAATAGGAAAAACCATTAATTTTCAGAAATTGTTCTGTGTTCTATTTAGTTTCTTTTTTAATCCATTTAATATAGTCTTTGGTAAGACGAGTATAGACATTGGCAATATTGGGAAGGCCACAAATGACAGAGCCAACTGACGAGATCCCGCTGAAAACACGTTTGCAAATTAATGGACCTCCAGCATCACCCTGAAACGAGACATTGATAGTAATGTTAACAAAAATAGTAATGAGAACATTTCCAGTCAATATATGATCTTGAGCTGCTCTGTATTTAACCAAAACAATTGAAGAAAAAAGAGAGGATATTGAAACTTGCTGGCATTAAGGTTCTGGACTTGTCGGATCGGCTGGATTAGTCTGATATGCAAATGGTATTGGTTTTCTCTGTAATTGCACATTTGTCTTTTTGTGGGTCTTTCATGCTTGATGAGATGCTTCTATACCTTACTCTTGCTTGTCATATAGTGCCATTATCTCCATGATCCAGACTGATTTTTTATATTTTTTTTTTGCCTCTGAAACCCGACTTGCTATAATGCATTCTAAACCCTGTTCTTTTTCTGAGGTTCTAAAATACATTTTCAAAATATATCAATATAATATGCAATATGTCTTAAAAAGCATTTCAGCTAGTTAGACACCTCTATAATCAAGGGACAATGAGACAATTCCCCGACTTACAACACAGTTACGACCTGCCACAAAGAGCAATATTTTCCTATCTGCAACTAAGAGGAATACTAACGGACTCCACTGCCCTGACAACCCAGACATATGCGCAACACATAGAGAAAGCGTGCGAATCTAGGACAATGCCTAAAAAAACGCTCTCCCTGATGTATGCAACACTCAATAACCCAACTCAGCAGACACCACCACAGCTAGACAAATTCATAGAGGCATGGCATAGGGACCTAAATACAACTTTCTCAAAGGAACAATGGAATCAGGCTTTTATAGCCCATAAAGGCAGATCCAGATGCGCATCCCACCTAGAGCTAATGCGCAAGATCCAATATAGGTGGTATTTAGTGCCAACCAGACTGGCAACCATATACCCCAACACCTCGCGGCTCTGCTGGAGATGTTTACGAGAGGAGGGCACAATGTTCCACATTTGGTGGACCTGTGCGACCATCAGGGGATACTGGAGGACAGTTGAAGGGATGCTAAAGGGGGCACTGAACTCAGGAAACAATCTGAAACCAGAAACTGCTCTACTTTTCATATCCCTTGACCCACTCCCAAAAGCACATGCTAGCCTAACATACCACATACTGATAGCTGCCAACCTATTAATAGCCAGAGGGTGGAAACAACCAAAGCCACCGGAGAGATCTAGCCTTATCCAACAGATCTCCCTAAACCTAACATATGAAACGAAGACTAGCCAGCTGATGCGCCCATCACACCACATAAGGGATGCCAGGCGAATATGGGAGGCATACCTGAGGAAGGTTGAGGAGGGGGAGGGGCTTGAACACTAACGAGAGTGGAGGGGAAGAAAGAGGAGAAAAAAAAAAAAAAACTATATCCATATACCCAAGAAGAATAAAAAGTACCACACATACTACATAACCGCTCAGGCGCAGAGAGGCCATAAACCCTACCACCAAGGTTCGAAAACAGGCATTGAGATAAACCCAGCTGAAGACAAATAACTCAATAGGCAAATGCGGAACAATCACCCACACTGTACATAGTTATCCAGGGGACAAGAGACAGGAACCAAGCAAAGTATGACAACCAAGGCGGAGACATGGAGTGATACAGAGCTCTTGCAGCCTGCTCCCCCATCTCTTCTCCTACTGCCCGAACCCCTGTTTCCCCCCATTCCCCCTTACCCAACCCCACATACAACGCAAGGTTATGAGGGTCAGACAAGCCGGACAAGGTACATGATCATGGTCACAAAAGTGGGGGAGGTACTCCCACAAAGTTGAAAACCTGGCCTTGTTCCCGAATGTATAAGATGTATCTTGGAGTATTGTAGCTCAACTGCATACCCTCCCCTTTTTCCTTTCTGTACCCCAACATGTTCTCTGACAAAATAAAAATTGTCAAATTGAAAAAAAAAAAAAAAAAGCATTTCAGCCCATTTAACCTTTAAAATCTTTAGAAAGTTGTTCTTTTTAAACCAATGTATCTTACTCTAGATAGTGACGCGTTATGTTACTTACATAACAAAGGCCCTTTTCATGCTGATCTCTGGTGCACATCATGTCACTTGTAATTTTGAATGTAGGTTGAAATGCAGAATTACATGTCTTTCTGTCCAGCACTGTTAATTTGACTTCAATTAGTTTGTCTGAAGACAGGGAGCTTTTATTACTGTATGCTCCCCATCCGGCCGTTTCACACATTGTCCCTGCTTTCATTTCTTTAAATGTTATTGGCAATGGTAGGATCTTCACAGCATTGTTTAGAGTTGCATTCTGAGAAAGCTGAAAAAAAAAACAAGAGTTTTTATACAAACGAAATTAAAACCAAAATTACTGTTATGGCCTCAAATTGTCTTTCTGGGGTTTGTTCCAGGATGTCTAAGTTACCTAAGGGTACCAATTTTATGTCAGAAATTGAGTCAAAAGTAAACCTTAAATGTGCATCAAGTTCTAATTGAACTGCAGTAAGCAAACTCAGTAACATGAATGATGCATTAGGCATCTCAGTGAAATCCTGCTCTGTGCATGTGCCCGATCCCTGACCCAGTCTAATTAGGTGTCTGAAATTGAAGCATTCTCCAAGATTGATGTTTGGACCCATCCTTTGCTTCTGTGCCACCTCCTGGTGCTTGAAATCAGTCTCTCAAAATACGGTATATGAAATAATATTATTTTTTCAAAGCCTTATCCCAAGCTGGGATTAAAAAGTGCTCTTTTTTTAACCCCTTAAGGACCAAACTTCTGGAATAAAAGGGAATCATGACACATGTCACACATGTCATGTGTCCTTAAGGGGTTAAAAGGAAGAAAATAGTTTTCAAGATGACCTGTGAGAGTCATAAACCAGTATGTGGATCTAACAAAGATCTTAATTACAATACAATAAGAAGGCCTTGGCATTTTATAAGGCTTAGTTTGTCCAGATACAGAGATGAACTACATTCCCAACTGGGGTTATCGAGGAGTTACTATAATTAAAGGTTTGTTCAAGCACCATGACCACTTCTGTGCTTTGGATGGGTTGTGTTTCAGACCCTGTATGTGCAGCATTTCAGCATGATTTACTGCACCTATTGAGAATGATATTTAGGTTAGCTGAAGGATGTGTACCTCCACCTCTGACAGCAACATTAACCAGTCCACAATGAGAGGTCTGGGTGGGCTATGTATGTTCTGTGCATATTCAGTGCATAGACTTTTATTTATTGGCTGTGAATGCTAACACTGACACTGTCACCCAGTTAATGTGCATCCAGCTTCTGCAGCTCTGCACAAGCCATATGCGGTTCAGCTGGCATTGAGGACCCAGATAAGAGGAATACCATTGCAAAATTGGCTGATTCCCTCACTGTAGAGAATAAGCACAACATCATATAAATTAATATTTACTTCATATATGGTATCCATACAGTTAGCAGGGCATAATGTGCAAAATTTATTAATATAGGTTTCCTGTGCTTTAATATAAATGAAATATAAATATATACATTTAATCATTTGTATGCCCTGTGTATGGTTCATTTTTGTATGTCTCA